CAGTTTAATTTTGTAAACAACTTAATTAAATTGTAAACACGTGTCCATTTGAGCGGCGAAGACAAAATATATAACACTTGGCGAAAATCAGAACCGTTACACGTTTGCACCTTGTAGGGTCATTTTAATCCTCATTACGAGCCGCACTCGAGGAATAAGAAAGACATCACAAAGAGAGAAACGTGGTCGGCCGTAAATCTGCCACAGCTGCTGTTTATTCATTATATTCCGATTGGTTTTATATGGGCAGGTATTTATTTACTTTTTTCTCTTACGCTGCTGCTGGTGAATTGCCACACTGGCTTTGCGTGCACGCAACACAATTGGACAAGCACCGCATGCACATACACGCTTGTAAATAAGTAAAGCAGTATGTGGATCGCGCGACAAGATCAAAAGCGACTTCCAATTACCAATTAGAAAGCAGCAGCGCCTTCCTATTTTATTTCCCTGTTCTCGAGATACGCCAATTAACGCCACAATCACCATGAATCGCGTCTAATTGTTTTATGCACTTTACATTTTCCAATTTCCTAATAATAATTCAGATCCGCAGCTACAATGTGTAGTTTTACAATTAAAAAATTGAATAGATCAAAAATTTTGATATTTGGCCAATTCAATACTTGCACTGATCCTCCTTCAAATGCCGCAACTGAATTTAACATTTGATTTTTTTAGCTATTTTTTTGCATAAAACAGTCACTTTCTGTGATCAATGACGCATTATTACATATCTTGGTGAAAACTTTAAACTTGAAGTAATGCAATCAGTCTCGTTCTCTTATGAGAGCAAATCATTTGAAACGGACCTGGCGATACACCATAGTTATGACATTTGATGTCTTCGTCTGTGGCCGCAGCACAAACACAGAGATTATATTGAATTTCACCGGTACGCATTTTTGCACTTCTTCGTACCATGACTGATCAATTTCACGTACAGACGGCTCGTCTAGTAGGACGAGTTTCGTCAGACAGCAATCAATCTGTTAAAACTCGCACTCTCGAGCGGGGCGGATGGGTTGCAAAAAAGCATCGGGTGACTGCCTTATATGGGGCTATTTTTAGCGAGCAAAATCCGATCCTCGCTCGCTCTCACAATATGATAGTAAAATAAAAACGGCAGAGGTTTTCTGCTCCAAATGCACGCGTTTAGCCAGTTCATACAACACACACAAACAGCACACTTGTTTATCAAATATCGCGTTTCCCTGTACCGAGAACAGAACATTCAACACCAAAGACGATGTACTTCGTCGTCGCAAAAAATGTGCATAATTTAATTTATATATGAAAAAACAAACTTAGCTTCAATAAATTTATTGAGTCAGGCCTATTTCTTCTCTTTTGAAGCCTGGATGATTTAAAAAATCATCGGTGCGTTTGCTATTTACATTAAATTATGAAACAAGAGGGCAAAATAGTTTGAAACAATTTCTTCTCTTTTAGATCTTCCAATTTTGAAATTTCTGTATTGACTGAGAAAATAAATAATTTGATATGCTGATGGTCTTGAAAAATGAAAAAAGGCACGACCAAACAGGTGCGAGTCTGGTCCAAAAAAGGCAGCGGTGCTCGCCGTGCAGTGATTATTTTTTTTTCGTAAATTTTTTAACAAGCAGCGACAGAGACGGAGATCGGTATCAAAAGTCGCAGCAGCGCCAAGCTGTCTAGGGATTCAAATGAGCGTCTGTCATCCCCAGCTTTTAATCTCCGAGTTCAGTGTTCTCGCAAGCGGCAAGATTTTATCTAACCTCAATCTGGCCGCGTGATGGATTGGAAGCGAAGGCGCACTTTTTCAATCACCGCAGCACATAAGTAAAAGCGCCGTTGACAAGCGGGACACACTTTTCCTTCTCAACTTTTCGGGTCAGTCCGAACCGATCTGGATGATTTGTGAGAGAGGGTCAAAAACTCGTACGTCTCTGATTCCAATTTGAAAACCGAAAAGGCGTGAACGGGATTTCGTCACGATTTACAAAATACAGCATGATTTTGAAATAAGGCAAAGGCCGCCTGGTTTTGATCGGATCAGCCAAAATCTCAAACGGGCCGCAGTTCTAACTAATTTCATGAGCAACTTATAGCAACGCCTCAAAATTTCAGTTTGATTGAGTCAGGATTGAGTCATAAATAGAAAAATAATAAAAAAAACCATCAGTTAATTCCGAATTTCATTTAATAATTTCACTGGTTAGGTCACCGTCCTTTTCATTCAATCCGGGAGGTTTTGTCTGGAGGAGGAAGCGTCTGTCCGGACAATAAGGACAAGGCCAGCAATTTGCATCTTCTGATTAGAGATTGCCGCCGGGCGAGATAATTGTTTAGGAAATAATTCTGAACGTTGACCTTCTCGTTTGGTGGCCAAGGCAATCTAATGTAATCTGAGGACCGGCGGTTTTCGCGCCGACAAAAAGAACCACAGGCTCTGTCCAGCAGACAAACTTTAATCAACTGCGGCGAGGAAAAGTACATAAGATTATCAGGACTTCCCGACTTCCGATTCCTGACCTCAACCACCCTGGATTAAAGCAATAATTATTTGTTTTAATTTGAGCGTGTTTTATCCTGCACGGTTGCTCTCGAACGGCCACAGAATGGAAATTTCCAAGTGCAGGTGTCTCTGGGCGGCGCTTGATTGATGCGCTCGATGCACTTTGGTGACAAGTTTCGTTTCTGTGGCCGTTCAAGTTGCTTATTTATTCAGATGAATGCTGGGGGACGCTGATTGATGCGCCTACAATTTTCGGCAGCTGCGCCACGATTCAAATCAAATTTATTACCAAATCAATTTACCTAAAATAAACTTATTTATAACAATAATTAACTCATTGAGCAAAAGTTTTTTTTTATCGCAGTTTCTGAATTCCAATCACGTCTTCCGCATAACGGGCTAAAAATACCGATGCTTATTCATTCTTTCAGATAAGCAAACTGCATTGCGATTCGTATCAGAGGAAGTACATAAGTCTGCGTAGGACAAAAGATACGAAGGAAATTCTAAAAATAGGCGGCTATGTTTGCGGTTCAAAAGTACGTCTCTTATTTGATTATGAATTGGAAAATGACAGGGACAAAGTGTGGCACTTTCTAGACTCGTGGCAACGCAAATAATTGGACGCAAAACCCTGGGCGTGCGCTGATTGACGTCAGGCACGTCAGCAAATTTTCGCCGCGGGCACTTTCTCTCATTGTCAGTAATAATTTACCTTTTGCGAATTTTAAAACTACCAGCATGGACAATAATTATGATAAAAGCCGCTTGATTAAATTGCAGCATGAGGCCCACAAGGGCATTAATTCCAACTTTTATCAAAATTGGCACATCAAAAATAGGCTCGTATACAGGAAAAATAAATGTCAGTGTTACTTTTGAAGTTGAAACTAATTAAAAGAGCATTTGAAATTATAGCAGCGGGGTAAAGATTGCATAGCGATAATTAATATGTAATATGAATAAATATTTTATCAAATATTCGCAATAATTTTATTTTTATTATTGAATATTTATTTATATTTTGTGCACCAAATTTAGCGCTATTATCAGATTCAATATGTCTATATTATTAAACAAAATTAGATTTGCAAAAAATTAAACCAAAATTGCGAAAAAATAGTGAATTGTGGTGAATTGTTGACCAAAAAGGGCCCAATAATTTTGCTAAAACAATAAAAATCAAGATAAATCCGTATACATTGAATTGTTTGTGACTAAAGGTCATTGTTTTACAACGACGCCATCTCATTGGGGGGATTTATTTCAATTTTTTCCAATGACGTCGGAAAATGCGCCTCGCGGCTTCGTCTCGGAATGAAAGTGCGTGCGTGCGGCTGTGGAATTGCTCGTTGCTTGAAATTGGCTCGGGAGCCTGGCGAGGGGTCCGAGAGGCCCTAGGCCGTCTTCCTAGACTCACGTGACGACGACTGTGGTCGCAGCTAGCGATTATCAAATTGTGAGGGCAACATTAAGTGGCCGCGAGACGAGCCTTTGGTGGTCCATTGAAGGATTCGAGCGCTGCAAGTCAAGTGAGCAGCGTTATGCAACGCGACAATTGCAGAATTATTCGCTCATTGAGCAGAGGCGCTGCGAGAGGAGGCCGCACTCGATTGATTTGCACTCGGACAATTTGTAATCAAAAATTTCGCGTAAAACAATACATATAGCTGAATTATTATAAGAATTCATCCGACTTGCAAGATGAAAAAAACTCACGATAATATTATCATTCGAAGCAAAATTTCCTTACTATCTAGATCGCAATTACTTTCAATTAGCTTGCGGCGTGCAATTAATCAAAATTTTCGCAAAACACGGCATTGAAATGAGGTGTCGCAGCATCCTTTACCGCAGACAAAAGCACGTGTTCGCACCGTTATTGTTTTCGCAATCGGCACACGTGTGCAAATATAAAGAGGCGAGTGTGTGCCAGCGCTGATCGATTCGGACTCATTGTACGAAAGGGTTCATTCAGCAGCTGGATTAATATTTTCGGGCCATTACCAGAGATGAGACTCGAGGTCGAGAGTGTTTTCCCCAAACTCGCCGTAATTGGGAAAACCGTTGTCCTCTTTCTCATGACAATCATTATTCTTCTGATAATAGGCGCACACAAAAACATGAAACTCGATAAATATATAAATAAATCAATTCTTTTCCACTATTGTCCACAATTTTAAACCAGGGATCCTCGAATCAACTATACACAAAGAAAAAAAACTATTTTTTTTATTTATTGAAAGCAGCCAAGTCACGATTGATGTGATGAAATTATATGCTAAAAAAATTCGCAAAATGAAGTTTTCATCAGGAATGTTAATGTTTCATATAAACTTGATTAAACATATGAAAATGATAGAAATTTCAATGAACTTGAAAAAAAAATGCAATAAAAAAACTAGAAAATTGAAGTGTACCAAATTTTCAAATAAAAGGTTTTTTTGAATCCTCATTTAAATGCTACAATTGTAATTTAATTGTGTTTTTGGTTGTTTTTCAGGTAATGGCGAGAACGAGCATCGCAGCCGCGATCGCAATCGTGGTGTTGGTGAGCTCGGTGCTGGCGAGCCCGACGCGCGGCGGCATCCCCTTCGGCGCCGGGCCAGCGTCCTCGCGGCCGCTCGTGCTCAACCACACGCTGAGCAAACGCACCCACTTCTTTGACATCCAGTGCAAGGGCGTCTACGACAAGAGCATATTTGCGCGGCTGGACCGGATTTGCGAGGACTGCTACAACTTGTTCAGAGAACCACAACTGCACTCACTTTGCAGGTGCGCTTACTGCATTTCCTTGCAAATATATTGTATTCCTCCCTTAATTGGCGCACGTGAGATATTGCTCCGTGACTCTGCGGTTTCGCGATTCATTAACGCGAAATTAGCGCGCCACAAGACCCGACTTTGCCTCGCTGGTTAATAATTCAATTAGCGGGTTTGCTTTATAGAAGTCTGTGACTCATGGTAATTTTTCGCGATTGATTCTCACCCTTTTTTTCCTTATTGATTGTCAACTATCGAAAATCACTTCAGAGACAGCGTGGGATTGAACTATTTTATTTTAATATTGATTCGATTCCTTTAAAGAATTTTCATAGTCAGATAAAAAGAAGTTAAAATTTCAAATAACTTGCTTTTTTAATTTTTCTTTAGCATTTTAATTTACATCTCTGGTTTCCCATAATTTTTCCTCTCGGCTCATACGTGCATTGAAATTCCCAAGACGTAAATGAAAACGAGATTTAAATAAGTTACCTGAGGTTAGTGAAAACTGGTACTTGCAACAATCATTTGCATTTCAAGTTCTCCTTTTGTACGCAAAATTATTCAGGTTTTCACGAATGGAAACTCCAAAAGCTCATTACACCGACTTTTGTTTTCAGAGGGCGCATAATTGAAAAAAAAAAACAGTCTGTTTGTGATAAATTTTCCTCAATTTTTTTAATAATGATCTATAAAGAGAAACTGTTTCTACAATTTTAAGATCTTTTGCATTTAACTTAGGGAAAATCGTGAAGAATTGAATTTTTTCATTCTAGGCTGCCAAAAACAAAAGAACGTGACCTAATAAATAACAAAATGAAATTTTTTCTTCATCTTTAAATTACAAGTCACGTACAAATTTAAGAATGAATATTATGAAGGGGATAAAAAACTTTAAGCAGCGTCATAAATAACGAATGCCAATTTATTCATACATTTTTCCTGGCGCCACAGTTAGAGACTCAACATTAAAGAATTTCTTTGCACAATTTTCATCCTCAAACAATGACACGCTTGTCTCATGACGCGCGTGGAATTGGCTAAATGGAAAATGAGCCAAGCAATTTAATAACCAGTCTATTTTTAACCCAAACTGAGTCACGCACGACACGGAAATACGCAATTTTAATTTTTTTTTAACACGAAACAAAGAAAATTCCGCAGAATGTTATTTATTTTTTCCTCATTTGCGATCACTCAAATGCGTCTAGATCTAGTTGGGTCTGGAAAAAACGCGCGACCTCGTTTAACGTATGAAATTACGCGACGCAAAGAGAGAGAAATAATTGCTCTGAATAAGGAATCTTTTCGCATAAGGCGAGTTCAAGACGAGGCTTTGCCCCTTTGCATTGAAACAACAAAGTTGTTTCTGCTCCCATATTAGATAATAGACTAAATTGCAACTAAGGCCGCCTCCCTTCTAATGTGTGTTCGCGGATTTGCGTGTTGCCTTTTGCAGGAAGGAGTGCTTCACCACCCACTATTTCAAGGGCTGCGTCGACTCGCTGATGCTGCAGGACGACTTGGAAGATATTCAATCGTGGATCAAACAGCTGCACGGGGCTGCCCCGTAGCTCGTTGTCGCCCCATAGGTACCTTCACCTCCACCACCTCCCTTCCTAACACGACTAATCCTACAATGGTTGCGTTTCGCACTAACCATGGCATCATGACCTTTTTAATTTGTCACTTTAACCCTTTTTCTTTTGTTTTTACTAACGACGGACCTTTTGTTATTGTTCTTTCTTCGAAAAGGCTGTTTTTGCTGACACATTTTTGGCAGTAGTGAATTTTTTAGAGCCTCAACTCCAAGTGCAATGTAAAGAAAGTACTTGGAGGTTTTGCTAGTTGCAAATCTAGCAATTGCATGCTTAGAAGTGTATTATAGACGCTTGTTTTCAAAACTAACACAAAAGGTCTAGTTTGGGGTGATTTGCGGCTTTTTTGCAAATCGCCTGCCTCATTTTTTAACCACCTTGGTATGTTTTCTGCATTTTTGAGCGTTTTGGATTTTGCGTCTAGGCGAATTTTGCGGCGATTTTGTAGTTTTGGTGATTTTTGCACGCATTTTAGATCCACATTGACGTGAAATGAGACTAATGATTTTTTTTCTGCGTTTCCACAGATCCGAGTGCTTCAGCACTGACTACTTCTGGGGATGTGTTCAATCGTTACTTCTAGTCGACGAAACAGAGGAGCTCCGCAAGATGGTCGATTTTCTTGGCAAGAAGTAACGACGCCGACCGACAGCCCCACTTCTAATCTAGTCACCTTTTCACGATAATTTATTTTGCATTTAAATTAAATTAGAGTATCTAGTTATTAATCATTCAACCAACTGCATCTTCCGACGGCAACTTACTGGCTGGGGATAAATTGCCTCAGGAAAATAAACTTACATAATTTCGTTTCCATTTTCGCTTCATTCTGCATCGTCCCGACTCTGCAGCCCCTCGGACTTGTGCAGTCTTTTTTTTTGTCAATTACAACTATTTGAGGAGACCAAAGATATATGTTTCTGCACGTTTTTGCTACATAATTTGCTGGCGGGTAAATTTCCAACTTGTTTTTTGCAGCGCACTTTGGTACGACACAAACACACAATTTATTTTTATATCCAACCAGTATTAATTTATTCCGTGTTTTGACTTTTGTGCGTCATATAATTATGCGCGAGGGAATGAGGAGTTGAGAGATGCGTGCTAATTATGTATTTTGCTAAGTTTTCGCTCCAAACATGTATGAATCTCATTTGTTTAATTTTTGTATTTGCAACAAAAATGTATTTCAATAGACAAAAATAATGTCAAGAAAAAGAAAGCTTGTTTTAATTAATTCAGAAACCCCATTTTCTATATTTCCAGATGATTTAATATTAATTAAAAAAATACACAGTTAAGAATGTCATATAACTCTGCAAAAACTAGAATATTAATTTCTAAATATTTCATTCAGAGAGAACATTTAAATGGCAGAAATTCATCTATTTTTTTGAAAAATTTCTTATATGTATTCAATTATACACCGGACCACGGGGAGTAACAAAATTGTTGTATATTAGATTTCTCAAATAAAATATAATATGGATTTTTCCTCAATTAAAATTTTGCGTATGCATGTGATTAATATTTAACTATTTATCATAATTTTTGCTGAATACAATGTCTTGTGAACATAGCCTGGATAATTTTAATAAAAAATGCCAGATAAATAATTTGATTCCCATTCTCACAATTTTTTTTTTTTTTTTTTTATGAACAAAGTAATTTCACCATAAAATAATATTATACATGGTTTACTTACAATTTTAGCCCCTTGTTTTTAAATTGTAAGCTTTCAAATTTATTTCAAAATACTATGTACCTAATTCGTACTGTATAAAATTAGCGGAGTGTGATGTTTAAAAAAAATAAAACAATAAGAAAATGTACATAAGGGACAAAGGGAATTAAAAAAAAAATTCTGACCTGCTTAAATTTTGGAAGTCAAGTTGAAGTCTGAAGTCTGGAAATATCTCTATATAGCCCAAATAAACGTTACATTTTCTTCTCAGGAATTTCTATCGTCCAAAAATCTTGAAACAAAAACAAACTTGAAATCGCATGGGCGGCACCGGCACTTTAGGGCAGTTGATGCTCACTTGTTTGCTATTTTTTGTTGCTGGCGAGGGGCGGGGATTTTAAAATTCTGGTGACAACAACAACCAACAACAACAGCGCGGGACAGCCTCGCGGTAGTAAGTACATAGTTCTGAATTAAATTAGTTTCCTATTGCAAAACTGCGGATGATTATGTAACTTAAAACTTTGTCTGTACATATTTGATTTGTGATCTCAGTCGTGGCTGCAGAATTCAACCGTTACATATTTATGACTTTTGTATAAGAACGAATTGTGATTTGGTTACCGCCAAGACCGGCGACCGGCTCTTCTATTACCTCCATCAACTCATCGGCATATCAGCATCAACAAAAGAGTACGTCAAACTAAAAGCAATATTGTGTGTCCTGTAGCAATGCAACAGTGTTTTTCATTGCATAAATATTTTTAATTTTTATCGAATTGTAGGAAACTTTTAAAACATGGCCTCTCTAACATCCACGCCGCTTCTGGGATCTTCTACTCCTGCTTCCTTGTCTCCTCTACAGTCCTTTAGCAGTTCCACTCCGAGCAGTGCCACACCAGTAGCTACTCCAACATCAAAGCCAACTCCTGCCAAAGAGGAGGGCTACGTCGAAAAGTTCCAAAAGGTTCTCCGGTTGGATAAGTCGGCTAAGCAGAGCCTTTTGTGGTCTGGGGTGAACGCCACCCTCTTCTCCGTTGTTCTCTACGACTTGTACGAGAATTTAATTTGTACTGTTACATAAATTTTAATTAATATTACAATCTTAACAGGACTGAGTCTTGCAGCCAAAGACCCAACTGGGCTGAATATACGGAGCTGGCATTTTTGGTTGTGCTGTTCATCAACATTGTCTACCACTTGGCCAACTACTTCTACATCTTGGTCACTTTCAAACCTGTACCTCTAACTGCTGACCAGAAAAAACTTCTCGGAGTCAGCGAGAATGGTTTGATCATTAAAATGATATAATTAAATAATAATTACGCTAAACTCAGATCCCAAATTTCCAACCTTGACTGAGGAAATGATTGCAAAAAGCAAAGCACAAGCTGCTTCTGATAAAATTTCTCCACCTCAAACCCCCATCAACTTTTCAGCAGCCAGCTGGTTCAACTCCACTCTCCTTTCGCAGAAAAGCACTGGTTTGCTCATGTAAAATTTATTGAAATTACCGGAAATTATTTATTAGTTTTTTTAGCAAGTCCTAATGTGTCTGGACTCCTAAATACACCAAACTTGAGTGCAATGCAACAGGCAAACATATCCCTGAACCAAACTTGGGCCAGCGCCAGCCCTTCATGGAATAACTCGCTCAACTCATCTCTTTCGACCTCTTGGATGTGCAGGACGAACAGTGGCACTCCAACTACAACAACCCCTGTCAATGTTGAGTCAGATGAGCCAGTTGTGGATGAAGCGTCACTCTTGAGATACCTTGACAAGCTGGAGAAAATGGAGCAGAAAATGGTTACCAACACAAGCCAGAGTAAAAATATTCAATTAATAAATATATAGCAACTTAAATTGATCCCCAAAAAGGCCCCTTGAATTCGTCTCCTACAAATTTAAGCATCTTGTGGAACAGCCAGGTCAACTCTACTAGCCCGGACCTGATTCTGCCTACCAACATGACTTACCACCTTTCTACAAACATACAGGGTGTGTTTTCTGTGTAGCCGAAAGTTTAACAGTTTTATATATTGTTTTACTGAAAATTGGTTATTTAATGTTTTTAATTATTGCTAATAATATGTATGCAGCTCCAACGCTAAACAAGACTGGAAGTCCTGGTATTGAAAGTCTGCCTGGTGTGACTTCAATCTCCACCAATGAAAAATTCTGGCAGAAAGAGGGTGTCTCTCAAGAACGTCTATCTCAGTGGAATAAAAATTTGAGACAAGTAAATTTCCTGTGATAGATTTAAGTACTTCATAAATAATTATATTTCCAGTGGATCACAATGACTGTTCTGAATCCTGTGATCAAAGAAATAGACGATGTGAATCAGGCCCTGCAAAGACTGGGAAATGAAGAAAGGGTCGGATCTTCGAGTTTGGACAAAATAAAGCCAGTGAGCAATTCGCTTCAGGTGCAGCAGTACATCCCAAACTTTCCCACTCTACTGACCTTCCTGGAGGTTACCCAAAACCAGCAGTACCTTGTCCAAAGAATTAGAGGTAACAATTTTAAAGGGCTGAACCTAAATAGTAAATAAATAATGTGTGTTTAGAACTGGCTAGTGGTGGGTGCATGAGTGACTTTCGCTGGAACTCTGGCGGGAACTTCAATGGCAAGCCTTGGGACGACACTCTGCCAACGGACACCCAGGTTTGCAGTTTATTTTATATTGAACTTGACTAACCCAGACTTAAGATCATCATGCATTTCCTGGCTATGTACTTGGATGTACAATTGCCCCCAATGCGCCACAGACCCGACCCGAGACCTTTCTCTGCTGTCCACATGAGCAAGGCTGTTGACAAGCCAAAGTGTGGAGACAACATTATTCTGATCCACGAAGCAACAGCAAATCCTCCTCACTACGTCCTCATCTGGAAAAACAGTGTCTATGAAGTTCCTAAAGTAATAATGAAATCATTTTGTTAATGGAATCGTTAATTAAATTTTTTTAATTTCTACAGGGAAGAAACAACTTGCTGCACACAGTTCTGCTGTTTCTGCATAAGCTCAAGGCGGAGGATGCTGGAATGCTGGGCCGCATTAGCATGGGACCCTCTGGGTTGAACATCATGTGGGTCTTAGCCTAGACAAATCTTTTCAATGTGAACCTCATAAAAATGTTTTTAATGTAAGCTTTTTAATTGAAAGAAATTGGAATGGTTTTTCAGTCATAATAAACTGCAAAAATTGTTGCTACTATGAGAGCTTGTTTTGTTTCAAAAGTACTGGTAACATGGCTATCCCGCTCAGAATCCCACAGAGGTCGGCTTTGGATGCAAATTCCTTGGTTCATCTTATCAATGGCATGCACCATAACGATGAATTTATACCTAAATTGATTTTTTCTTTAATATTCCCAGATTATTGAATATATGACTTAAGTACCTTTGAAAATCGTAAGACAACACTTTTTCCCTCAACTCCGTTGCCAGTCGTTGAGCAAGGCCTGGCAGGGCACTAGGAGAAAAAGGTTCGCCATTGAAGGTCTCATCAAGAAGCTCGTCGACAACTTTTTTGATCTCACAAGGCCGGAAAGGCTTTGGAGAGTCTAAGTAGTACGTGTTGAACGACTTGTTTTTGAGGGCCATTTTTTGGTAAAGATTCATTTCGGCCTGTGTTGCCCGGGTGACAAAGTGGTTAGAAAAAAATTAAGCAGGAGCACGAGGAAAAATAAGACGGAACTTGCAAATAACACCTACAGCATTGGTAAACAAAACGTTTTCATTTGGTTGCTGTGACAACAAGTTTCACTTGTTAGATCAATGAGATGTTAAGTTAGTTTTTTTTTAGAGTTGATATTTATTTATAAAAATAACAGAATCATACAAACACGAAGTATAATAACTCTTATATATACTTGTTGACAAAGTTCATATTCTCCGCAGGTTTCTTTTCAAATGTTTGAGTGGAGCACATCACCTCTAATGCAGCATAATATGCTAGCTAGTCTATAAAACGCCTCTAACAGTGCAATATACATTTAAATATATGTTCCCCTGCTTGAATTAGCAATAAAAAGTGCTAAAAAAGGACATACCCAATTTTCACAGCATTTTTTTTGCGTTCACAAATATTTGGAACAAAAGGGAAAAATATTTGCCAATAAGTTTTTAGAACAAGGCACTTTTCTTCCAAACACAACTACAACCCTGTGTACTAACAAGCTTTTTTATTAATCCTTTGTTTTGTAATATGGTAGACATCTACACATTCTGCCATCATTTAATCTTCATTTACAACAAATTAAAACAGAGATTCATTTGGAAGTCTTCGGTCAATGGAATATCGTGTCATGAAACTGCAGCTCAAATAATTTTGTGCCAATGAAAAAAAAACTCAAACCTTTAAGTGTATAGCACAGCAAAATATTGAAGTATCATGAGAAAAAATTAATCAAAAGTAGGTTACCTTCTGTAGGTAATTGCGAGTGTGAAATACACAATGATAATAATAATAATAATCAATCGTCCATTTCAAGTGTTCAAAGAGATGCAACAGCCTCCAAATGGAATGCACCTTCAGCTTGGTTAGCCATAAAATTTGGGCTGAAAGAGAAATTAAAGTTATTTAGCAAACAAAATAAATATGAGAAAAATCGACATCGTATTATTTTTTCAAACCAAAAAGTTAATAAAAAAACATTAAAACAAAATCCTCATGTCTGGTTATTAAAACTGGCAGGAATAAAGGGGTCGTTTGTTAAATCAAACCAAACATACACTAAGAAACAGACAATTTGACTTTTCTGACCTTGTCTTAAATAAAAATTTACTGGACTCAAAAGTTGTAGGGCCACACTACGTCCTAAACAATGTGTTAAGATGTGAAGATAATAAAAATTCTAATTACCTGTCCTGGTTCGTCTTGCGGCCTGCTGTTGTCCTCCTCGCCTGAAGAGTCCTCCTCTCCTGAAGAGTCAGCAGAACCACTTCGCTCTTTAAAAGCGTCTGCTTGAAAGGAATAATAATAAAAGTAAGTATTTCATAATGAAACGGAAACAAAAAAACTACTTTTGTCTGGTGTGCCAGCGTGCTCGGACTTCTGTTTTGAAAGGGTGTCAAAGCAGTTTAGGCACACACGCAAGGGCTTGGACGACTGGCTGGGCAGCATGAGGCGTTTATTCGAGCACGGTCCACACACCACAGAGCCACACTTGCGGCAATGGTGCTAATATTTTATCAAATAATATTTTCATTCAATCACATGTTATAAATAAATTTCAAGCTTACCCTTCTGTTAAGCATGGAGAACTGAGTACGTTTGCAGTGCATGCAAACGGAAGCCTCAGAGTCTGGCACCCAAACAGCAGCATGCACCTCAACAGCTTTCTTTCCACCTAGGAAAAATTGTTACAGTTCTTTATTACTATTTCAGTAGAAAAACTTATGCAAGGAGAAGCTACTGTGACAATTTTATAAAGTAATTAAGGAAGATTTATTACTTTTACGAAGCAGATCTTCAATACACTTGTTTATGTGTGCCATCCACTCCTGTTTTTCAGTAGCCGTCGCTGCATACACCGCAAAAGACTTAGTTGCTGTTCTGATTAACCATCCATTGCGAAAATCTGTTTTTAATTAATAATATTATGTATTCAAATCCACGTATTTGTTTCCTTACGAGAGTCGTCCTCTAAAGACTCAAGCTTCACTTCTTCCAAAGGAATAATGTGCTGTTTGTTGTACTGTAAATTTTTATAGAAAAAAATAAAGAAAATAAATTTTAACTCAATATTAACGTATGTGGTGCATTCCCTGAACTAATCTTTACTTTTAAATTCCCCTTTTTTAAATTCATATCTTTTAATCTTAACTCAAATTAATTGAAAGCTCTGCAGTGGATCGCAATTTTGGGAAATAAATTTTAAATAATCAATATTTTACCTTTTTCTTATTGATGACAATATTGCCGTAGACGAGGATGTCGTTGAAAAGGAAAAACTGCCTCGATTTTGGCTTCTTGCGGCACATTTTGGTTAGGACGCCCTCTCCAACCAAAACCCTGCCTGGAACAGCAAGTGGCTGCAAATCAATCAAGGCAATTGCATAATTAATCAAAGGCTAATCGGATCACTTGGTTGCTCACCTGCCCGGAACTACCAAAGCAGCTCTCGACCATGGTAATTCGCCTGGCATTTGCCTCGCTGTTCACTGCAACGGAAAAAAGTAAATTACATTAAAAGAATGAGAAATTGATTCAATGCCACCGTAATGTGCAAAGAATAACAAGTAAATAAAACTGGGGCAAGGATGTTACATTACATACTTCTCGTCATTTTGCAGTTTTTCTTGAAATGAATTATGAAGGAAAAAATGGTTTGAGATTACATTCCCCAAGCTAAATATAAAATTGATATAAAAAACCCATTCACGTAAATGTGACCGCAAAGACAGCTACAAATTTTCCTGCTCCTTGTATGATTCATCCTTCTGTATTCCCGTGTATGAAGCAGCTGCTTGTGAGCAATAAGAGAGAGAAGGGTGACACCCATCAAGAAAGTTTCCCTTCAAATCAAAGTAAAATCGCTCCCTAACACGCATGCCGTAAGTAAGTGCCGAGAATTTTTTTGTTTGAAACAAATTCCATTTGAAGACTGAATTCCGCGAAATGTATGGGCATTTTCATGCAAAATTCCAATTTTGTACACTCACCTAATCTGTCAACCATCGCGACCGACTGGCAACTCTGGCAATGCAAAACAATGAGCTCAAGGATGCCAACTAGAATTTGCAAATTATCCGAATTTAATGCATCTCAAATTCTCACGATAAAAATTCAGTTTTACTTTGAATTTTTTAAGGCTTGTTAAAAAAATTAATGAGTATCTAAAAGCCTGATTAAAACGTGAAAATAACAACACTGCATGTACAAACTCACTAAAACGAGTTTAATTGAATTTTTATTGTGGTGGCAGCTTTGATCCTTTTTTGCATTTGCACCAACCAAAAAATACAAAGTTGCCAACACAATTTTGAAGCACTTTATTTTGAAACATTTTCTTTTTATATTTTATGTAATTTATTTGATTTTGAATTGAAATATTTATCTACATCCAAAACTTATATTGATTTGGGTAGCAAATGGTCGTTTGCTACCCGTTTGTTGAAATTAGTTTTTAATTTAGATAAAAAATCTAATCAGTGCAACAAATTGCGGCCCTGCATCACATGATTTTGCACTGTTGTTCGCTGCGCAGGCGTGACTGAAAAATCACTTGACGGACGATCGGACGGGCTTTGGGTTAAAAACTTCAATATTTTTGAGGTTTTTGCGGAAACTCTTCACGATCTCACCAGTTTTCTTCGCGGCTAGGGCGTCGCAGTCAGAATGAAGGTTTGCGGACCTAAGTGTTCCCTTTGTGGCCTCATCATCAGCGTGTGGGGCATCATCCAGTTGGTCAGTCCTACAACCACCCTATGTTGTTGCTTCGCCGCAGCAGTATAAACTAATCTTTTTTCTCTAAATTTACAGGTGCTGATGGGCATCTTTTACTACGTCAAGAGTGTCGCCCTGTCCGAGGACTTGGCTATTGGACACGGTGAAGCGCACACCGCCGAGGATTTCTACATGGCGGCTGATAGGAGCTACACGCAGGTTGAAAATTGGAACAACACCACGTTCCTTTAAATTCCTCTTCTGACTACTGGACGGAAAGTAACCAAGTTGTCTGTTTTCAGAACGCTTACAACTGCTGGATAGCGGCCTGCCTGTATTTGTTCACCCTTCTATTCTCAGGACACCAGTTCTACATGAATAGCCGCACTTCGTTGAGCATGTAAATTATTATTTGGGCCTCCTGCTACTGTTGATTGTTCTATATAATCTGCATTTTATTTTGAAATTTAAAATAATGTTCCGAACTCATGATGAATGTGGTACATTCCTATATACTGTAAAAATTACCTAGGTGTCTCAATTTCCGTACTAACATTGGAGGTATTGAAATTTTGATTATCTAGCCTACGACCAAATTTAGTTTCTTGTTAAATGAATGTTGATCAAATTTCTTTCTATGCAGATTAAATTCAAATCACCTGCTTCGGATTTGTAAATTTGTTAAAAAAAAGAGTTAAACGGTGTGCAATGGCTAAGTCCGCTTAGGCCCATTAAGTATTATATCTGTTTATTGAAGATAAAATTTCTTTAAATTGTTAAGCGATAAAAATGGAAAAAGTCACTGTATAAATCCCTTAAGATGTAATCATTCCATCTTAACACATTCATGTTTTATTGTAGCTCGATTTGGGAAATGTATTTTCAGTCAAGTCGGCTCTGTCCTTGTCAGGTAAAAAACTGAAATAGATAGGGGTGCACAAACCTGTAAATTATAAATTAAATATTGTATGAAGTTGTAAGTACCGTGGAATAAAAATCAATTCAAACCCTGAAACAAATTGGATAAATCAACATTTATTTTGAATTTAGACATTCTTTTGAAATAATTGCATCTTTCTGCACATACAGCTTTATCAGTTTACCGCATCAGTTTTTCTTTGTTATTTTACCTCTGAAGGTATTACATTGATTATTTAAGTCCAACACCCAAAGGTTACTTGATTGATAATGCTCAAGAGTGGGGATGCTGCATCCGGCAATCACACTTTTATTTTGAGCTCTTTATTGCTAGCTGGAAAGGATTTAATATAAAATGCCATTTTAATATAAATAATTGGCTTTGATTAAATCAGGTAATCCAATAAAACATAATACATCAACACTGGCTTCATGCCAAGTTAGTAAAAATATCAAACTAAGTAGCTGCGTAATTAGAGAAGAAAAGCATCTCATTATTTTTTTTTTGTAGTAGCGGCTAAGGACAACACAGAACAAAAGAAAGCTGTCTCGATTAGAAAATATTTTAACGTTATCTCTCAGTCTTGGGAAGTTCAAATTTGTTTTTGAGAATGCATAGAACTAATTAAATATTTTCTAGTGGTCGTTGTTGCAGTCGTGCTTTTTGCGACACGAATGGAATGAAAAAAAAAATAAAGAAAAAGCAACTCTGTAAAATTAGCAGGCGAGTGAAAACAGCAAGATAATCAAGAATTAGCTCTCACGTCGGTAGATCTTCTCCATGAACTTGAAGAAGAGGTTGTGAGGCAACCCTCTAGACACCTGCTGGATGTGCGTGCTGATGATCTTGTAGCTTGATTCCTCGTAAGTTGCATAAGTGTGCGGCAGCCCCAAATCTTCGTACAGTTGCTTTACCTGAGCCACATCTGTCGGGTTTTTGGAACCATAGCAGGTCTTTAATTTTTATTTAAGTCAATATTTGTTTTTAATTTTTCTAAAATAACAAACCTCCATGGTTTTCCTCTGATCTGGGGTGCACCTCTGCAGTGCCACCACAGAAAGCCAGGTGCACTTTCCATCCTCGATGTCAGTGCCAACCTTACCAGTCACTTCAGGGTCACCAAAGCAATCCAAATAATCATCCTTGAAATTTAAATTATCAGCTAAACACAAAATACGAATTTAGATATTTTTTACCTGCACTTGGAAAAACTGTCCCATTTCAAGCAGAATAGTCTTTGCCTGGCGGTGCATTTCTGTATCTTGAATTCCCGCCTGAAATCTTGTATTTGATTATCATTTTATTCTCAGGTATTCAGATTTACCATATGCATAGCAAGAGCGACCGGCAGCTGGAACGAGTAGTAGGCAGTCTTGTACTTGACGATGGTGTTATACCTATTCATGGTAAACTTTTCCAGGTCAGGTTTTCTGCCAAACTGACAAGACAAAAGGTCCAGACTTTGACCCATGCTTGTTTTTAGTGCAACCTATACAAAGATTGAATTTAATTTTGATGCGACACAGAAATATATCTTACATCATGGAAGAGCTCCATAATGTCCACGTAATAGGGCTTGTCCCGGAAGTGTGTTCTCAGCAGTTGGTAAATTCCGCTCTCGAGCAGAATGCCATCATTGATAGCTGCAACACCGAGGTTGTTCTTGCGATACCAGCAAGGTCGGCCCCGTCGTGTCTCAGATCCATCCATCACGTCGTCCATTATAAGGAAAAACGCTTGGAACTGGAAATTTTTCATTTATAAATTAGATGCTTATGGACTGATTAAAAACTACTACGTTTTTTTTTGCAATGTAATCAATTTGAAAGATAAAAAAATTGTATGCTTTGAACATAATAATTAAAAAATCGCAGATGGCGCAGGTTTTAATCTACATGTAAGCAGCGGCTGATAAAAATGTAAAATACCATTTCAATGCACCATCCCAAAATTTGTGCCAGTCTGATATTTTCCGGTGTCAGATCCTCAGGTTTAACCAGCATTTTGTAGGCAAAGACCAGAGCCAGGCCCCTGTTCTTCTTCCCTCCAGGAACGTTGTATTGCAAGACCTTTAATTTATTTTTCATGATAATCTAAATTTCTAATTTAAAATTTAAGGAGGAATTGAATTGCACCTTTGAGAACCATTTGGTGGCATCAGGTACGTCCTGGTGGCGTCCGGCCTCAGTCAGGTCTCTGACCACATCCGGGAATACTGCCATAAACTCGCGGCTCTCCTCCTTGCTAGTGACAGTGCCCGTGGCTGCTGCTGGCACCACCACAGGGTGGTTGTGCGTCGACAGACCTCTAAGACAAGAATAGCACCGTCAGTGACGACTCGCGCACTTTTTAACTCCACGCCAGTTTAATTTTAAATTCAAATATCGCTTTTCATAAGCCGGCCGGCAAGAGCTTTTACATCTCAATGGCGATGACCTCGATGCTCACTCAAGGTCAGGCACCGTTTCTTTTGCGTTTTAGCCACAAAGAAAAAAAAATCTAGAATATGTGAAAAAGTTTTTGAACAAAGAAATTCTACTGAAACATAAATATTTATAGAAAAAAGGCACAGTTTAAATGTATTGAAATGCATTATAAATAGGATCGTCTTGTTTTCCCTGAATAGTTTTAAAAGTACATTTCACAAATAAATATGATAATAGGGTTCATGTGTCCGGCTCCCGGTGGAATGATATGTCAAACAATTCTCACCTAGGGTGGCGACGACTGGTCTGCAGGACTTTCTTTGTCGAGACATCAGTGTTGTTTGTATTGCTTGAGAGGTTCTCGTTGGCAAGAACGCTGGCCGAAAGGGCAATGCGGCGCTTCAGCTCGGGCACCGCAGTCTCCGTGAGACCTTTGGCACTTCTCCGCAGCAGGGCCAGCATTGTGACACGCACTTTATCTCAGGATGAATCTCCCTTACTTTCCTCGCTCACTATCAAAACAGCGTCTCTCCACACTCCCCTATAATTCGGTGCTGACGTGATTTTTTGCACGCTCCTGATTTTAGGGGGTGTGCCTCCCCTGTGTGCGAGTCTGCGTTCTCCGATTTCTCTTTTTCGCCCAACCTCCAACTTGCGTGTGCAGAAAGGAGGTAAAAGCAGCCCTTGCTATGAATAGAAAACAAAATATAAATCTATGTTGCATGCGTAAAATCAATTTAAAATATAGAATTACCTCATTTGTGCAATAAAGTTGATAGCAATGCTACAAATAAATTGAAGTAATACCTACTTTTGTCACAACGTTTGCATCTCCTCTGCGCACATACCTGAACCCTGGTGGACTTTTATGTCAACACGAAATGCGAAATATAAACAAAACAGTGGTGCTCGATGAAAAAAGTGTGAAATCAAGGCAGGCAAGTCGGCATTCCACCTCTTTTCTTTCTTTTATTATTCTTTCACGTCACACCAGATTTCTCTCATAATCAACACACAATTTTCAAACTGCCTTTTCATATCTCTATGGCATGTATGTATTTCTAAGACCAAATTAAGAATTAATTAATGTATATAATGTAGAGTAACGAACGACCAATAAGGAAATAATTATGATAATTATCTCATGACTCTCTCATTCACTAAGGGAATCAAAATATTTTTGCGGGTACATAGCTATGTATTATGATTCACCATTCACCACACATTATTGCACAAAATATAATGAATTTTAAACTATATATCAAATACATAATGTATGTATGTAATGCCTTATTTTTTCCTAGGTGAAGGTGCGGAAGGTCGTCGAAGAACATTGTAATTTGTGCCCACCCGACCAAAATTTCCTGACGCATACATGCATGTCGGGTAAGAAAAAAAAAAACAAATTCAATATTAGCAAAATTATCCTGAACAGTCGACTTCCATGTTATTTTTGTCAAAATGTTTGAATCATCACGTTTTACAGGTGAAAATTGGACTCTAAACAATATTGGAAAATTGGAGTATTTTATCCAACAATTCATTAATTAAAAAAAAAAAAAAAATAAAAAATGCTATCACGAAAGAAAGAAATGAGGAACATAAAAGAGGGCGTTGTGGGAAAATATGTCAAAAAAGATACTCCTCCCGATTTGCCTGGTAAGATCGTAGCTTGCAAAATTATTTACTATGTAAATTAAAAAAAAAACCTCAGTTATAAACGTTTGGACCAATGATTCAACCAACAAAAGACTCAGCTCCCGTCCTAATCACTTGCAACAGCTGGTAAGACAGCCTATTATGATAATTATGGCTTGATTGATTACCTAAATTATTTTAACATTAGACTCCACCTGGAGGAATGGTGCATCAGCATCAGTTCAGCGTGGGTCGAACGACTCCTCAGGCAACAACCTTGAGCACACCTGAGGGCAGGTTCACCCCCAGTAGCTCAATGCCTGACCTGGCGCAAAGGTTCACGAACCTATCTGTTGCTTGCGAGCCTCCGGCTAGGCTCTCAGGATCTATTTACAGTGGAGGGATGGTACCTGCTATGAGCCACACTTACATTAACCAATACGCTGGCTCGGATTTTAGTTTGGATAAGCAAAGAGTTAGTTTAAATTTATTTGAGCTTTAAAAAAAATATTCTTAAAAATGTTTGATGCCATTTTTTTTTTAGACTTCTCAAATGGCTCCTGCCCAGTATGCCCAAGAAATTCCTGAACAAATAGAGAGGCGGATTGCAATTCGACATGAGCTGCCTTACAGTGAAAATGCCTCTACGGTTTACAGCAACCAGATGGACGATTATCAAATCCCACCCTATCAACATCAACAAGTATTTTTATAATTTAATTCCGCTTTATTTTCTCACTAATTACCTTTTTCAAACAGCTGCCAGCGCCGTTTGTCCCCAAAATGCTGCCCAGCTCTGTGCAGCTGCACCATTCTGCGCCAAACATGCACCTGGCAGGCGCCTCCACGGCCAGCTCGCAGCAAGACCCCTCTGGCTCACAAGGTTTAAAATCTAACTTGTTGGAAATTATTTCTTTTAAATTTCAAATTCAGGTCAACTGTCTCAAGAAGGCTCAGAAGAGCTACCACTTCCACCTGGCTGGTCAGTGGACTTTACGATGAGAGGGCGCAAGTACTACATAGACCACAACACTAAGACAACCCACTGGAGCCACCCCTTAGAAAAAGAGGGACTTCCCACTGGCTGGGAGAGAATCGAGTCGCACGAGTTCGGCATCTATTATGTCAAGTAATTCTCATTTTCTTGGTTATTTTTAATTGGATTTTATTTTTATGATTCTTTATTTCCAGTCACATTACAAGACAAGCTCAGTACGAGCATCCCTGCGCGCCACACTACATCTATCAACCCGAAGTGCGTATCCAGATGGACATAGCGCCAAGAATGATGTCGCCCTTGCCGCCGCCACGCCACACACACTTCCATCCGCACAGTGTCTTAGTTCCTGCCAACCCCTATCTTAATCAAGGCATATTTCACATTCAAATTCAGTTGAACAAGAACTTAATTTTTTTTATGATGCAGAAATCCCTCATTGGCTAGTGGTTTACTTCATGGCAGCTCAGGAGTTTGACCACAAATTGAAGTGGGATATGTTCAAGCTACCACAACTGGACTGCTTTGACGCTTATTTAAAAAGGCTGTACAAACAGGGTCTTGAGGAGATTGTCATGCGATATGAAACATACAGGTCGGAAAACAAAACCTTTTATGTGATTATCTTTATATCAGAGTTTTGCTTGTATAGGTCAGCGCTGCTGTGCGAAATGGACCAGAGATTATCGGAGCGGCACAGTGGCGTTACCATAACAGAAATTGACGCTTTGAAGGAAGTGGCCTTAGCCCAGAACATGGAGACGAAAGTGTGATCCAAATATACCATGTAAGCTCCACACATAAAATAAGCTATTTATAAAATTTGCCTGTTGACCTGCTGATTTCAGCTATTTACATTTTATTGATAAAATGGTGTCGTTCACAATGTTTTTAAAGTATTTTATAATAAAACTATATTTCCAAAATACTGACATTTCTCCTCATAAAAACTTAACCAAAGCAAACTTTATTTACAGTTACAGAAATGCAGTTTCTCAAAATTTAAGCACATAATTTAACCACTAGCACTGGCTTCCTTTTGCTCTTCATCCAGAACTTCGACTCCAATTTTTGAGAAACCTTGGTATTTGTGTATGGTTACGTTTCTTAAGCCCAAGTACTGCGCCCACGCTTTGCCTGTGATCAAAGTTAATTTATATATTATATCACTCAAATATGATCAGAGAACAAAATATTATAATAAATAAGAATTTATGTACATATGTATGTATTGTTATACATATAGTAATAAATTTTCCAAATTTTCTTTAAAAGTAAATTACCAGTATTCTCCCCTTTGTCCACTCTGCCTTTGGTGTAGAAATGATAGCCAGCTACAAAGAAGACGTTCCACGCAACAAACATGTAGAATAAGGATAATTTGTCTCTTGTACTGATAGCTTTTGAGACTGGCACAGGATTCATTCTGCGACGGATCAATTTACGCAACCACCTTGGCAATCCAGACATTCTGCTACCGTATAAGCTATTGAAATTTGACGAGAATGAGCTAGAGTTTATAAGATATAATTTCTATGAAAGAGAAATTTATTTTGCTCTCATACCTTGTAATTCACAAAAAAACGTTATGTGGATAATTTTTGTTCAGCAGATTCTGTAAAAATGTTGTTGTTTTGCAATGTTGGTAACAGTGGAGCCATATGGACCAATATGGACGCGATGAAAACAAAAAGCTCTGCACATTAAATAAAAATGCACATTGTGGAACTGGGAAAAAACGGAGCCTGTTAAACTCTTGAGATAAATATATGTAAGTTTTATTTTCGTCCGTATTTACTTATATCTATGGGCGAGCATAAAAAATTTAATTTATTGGTTGCGTAAAATAAATCAAATTATGTATATAAATAAAATATGGTTAAGTTTCACCTCTGTTTAAACGTCTGGACCCCCCATCCTTATCATAATTTAATTTCTGGTTAGGCCCTATTTTTTAAGTTCATGGATTCCTTGTGGAATAGGTCCAGAAATGAGCAGAGTCAAGAATTAAACCATCACAAGACTGATGACTGGTTCAAACTTTTTGCCAACAGGAAAATGACTACTGAAGAGGCTGGATGCGAAACAAGGGAATCGGTTATTTTGGCCACCGGCGGCTATGACCACACAATCAAATTATGGCAAGCTCACACGGGAAATTGCCAACGAACGCTTCAGCACACAGAATCTGTAAATATTTAACTGCAAATTTCTATAATTATAATTTTACAAACTTTTCACAGCAAGTAAACGCCCTGGAAATTACTCCTGACAGGCAACGAATAGCTGCTGCAGGTATATAAATCGTGTAAATTTGTATTTATTAACAAAGAATTTGTTTCCAATCAAGGCTACCAGCACATTCGAATGTACGAGATAAATAGCAGCAATGCAAATCCTGTGGTGAACTGCGAAGGCCTGACAAAGAATGTATCTTCAGTGGGATTCCAAGAGGATGGCAAATGGATGTATACGGGCGGAGAGGACTGCAGTGCCCGCATCTGGGACCTACGTAAGGGGTCGATGCAGTGTCAGAGGATTTTCCAAGTCTCGGCGCCAGTTAATTGTGTATGTCTGCACCCCAACCAGGCTGAGCTCATCGTCGGTGATCAGAGTGGCATCATTCACATCTGGGACCTCAAGACAGACCACAACGAGCAATTGGTTTCATTTTTAATATTTCCAAAATAAACGTAATTTCTAACTAGAAATATATCAGATTCCTGAAACAGACTCTGCCATTCTCTCAATGGCCATTGATCCGGCAGGAACCTTTTTGTCGGCTGTAAACAACAAGGGACGCTGTTTCATTTGGGCCCTCAGTGGCGGCACCAATGATGAACCAACTCGTCTCAACCCAAAACACAAACTCGAGGCCCACAAGCGGCATGCCCTGAAGTGCAGATTCAGTCCTGATTCTTCGTAACTATAAAATAGTCCATAATTTTCTTGACATCCAGAGATTTTCCTCAGGTTGCTCGTGACCACTTCAGCAGATCAGACTGCTAGAATCTGGGAGACAGACAAGTTTACAATGGTTCAGGAGTTAACCTGCGACGCGCAGCGCTGGGTCTGGGACGCTGCCTTCAGCTTGGACTCGCAATATGTTGTCACAGGTTGGAAAAATTTTGAAGATTGAAATAGTTTGTTATAATTTTTAAATAGGCTCATCGGACGGAGCTGCTCGGTTGTGGGATGTTGCTGAGGGAACGATACAGAGAGAATACACTGGCCACCAAAAGTCCATTACTGCTTTGGCATTGGAGGACATCGCCAAGGAATAATTACACATTGAAACAAATGTTCACTCGATAAATAAAAATAGATAAAAATTTAACTATTTGTTAAACAATTTTATTTTTAAGAACAATTTCAGTGACTTTTATTGTGTGTAGCACTGCGTATTTGATTTAATTGAACATAGATTAGAGCATAAAATAATACAAAGTCAAAGTCTTAAAGTGAATTAGATTTTAAAATTTCAAAAAAAATATAGAAGTGGTAAAAAGGTAAAAGGTTAACTTTATACAATTAGCTAAGAAATCAAACTCGAGTTTAAATTTAATATTCATTTTATTGAAGTATCACAGATTCTCAGTCTTATAGTTGCCTCCTGGGTGAAATCTTTACCAGTCATACCTGCAAATGAATTTGCAAAATTAATGTAATTCGCAATTTATAAATTACATAAAAATGTGAAGAATTAATTGGCAGAGAAGTCGCTTTGTGAAATTCTGTCGTTCGCTCTTCCAGACAGTTTAGCGTGAGTTTTGATCGGTTTTCGCAATCTCATAGTGAACAGGGTGTACGTCGCAGGCTATAAGAAATACTTATTTTTCACATCCCCTTGATCGTGACATCGCTTGTGGGAGCAGATTGGAAATGCAAAAGATATTGCCATGCAGAGTAATGGTTCGTGAACGAGACGCCAATTTGTTCGCATTAATCGCAGAACGAATAGGATTTTCTGTCGCATACTAACCTGACTTTTGAGTGAGCAAAACGGGAGGGTCGGCTCGCCTGCCCGCCCTTTAACGCCGCTGATCCTCCACAGGCGCACGCAACGAGTATCGCATCTTGATTTTCAGAAGTGAGCTTGCTTTGAGAAATCCGCTCGTCATTCGAATCAGTTCGTCATTGATACGCATTTATTTATTTTTCTTCATAAATCGGACGCAAGATTATCGTGACATCCTAACATGTCTTAGAAATGTGCAGAATAAGATTAAAAAAAGCAAAAGTGATAAAATTGTATTATTAAAAAAATTAGAGCAATAAATAAAAAGTTTGAATATTTATTCCAAGAATGTGTTATTTTTTATTTATTATAAAGGAAGATAAAATGCTAATAAAAAAATGTTTCACACTGCTATTACGCACTAATGAATACATGATCCTTAATGGCATTTTTTTTTAATAATTAGAAATATAATTTTTGTATTGAAGAATTAAAATGATGTGTCAAAGCCATGTATTTATATCCATGGTGAAAGTATTGAATAAATATTATTTTGCCTCACTTGTCGAAATAAGCCGCAAGAAGATTATTAGAATTTTTTATGATGACAATAATTAATTTCACGCAAACGATTGTTTTCTTTGAAGTGATAAATTTCTGAGTCATGTAGATTGTAGACGACAAAAGGGTATGTTTTGTTTAACGCAAAACGCAAATGGTTTACTAGATCGGCAAAATATAATATTTTTTTTTTTCGAAATTGCTTATTTGAAGTTTGCAACAAAAACATTTTATGGAAAATTAGTTGTATACTTAAGATTTACTGCAAAGGAGAAACAGCACTGATGTTATATCAGTCAGTAGCGCAGACGGAGAGGAAAAACGCACGCTTTTTTTTCTTTCGACAGATGGATAATTTATTATCTAATATTACCAATCATAATATTATTGCATTCGACTTTGCACACCATACTTATGAAGAAGACAAGAGATACAAGTCTTGATAATTGAAATAATGTTAGCCTAGTTGCCTAGTAATAAAAACTTTTTGTAGTAAAAATGTACACCTACATCAAATTGATGATTTTATAGAAAAAGAATTGTGGCAATGAACGTTCTTGAAGGTGAATGCTATGATTAACATATTTTTACGATTTGATAATTGAATGAAAAAGTGAGAGGGCGAGAGATGCTCGCTCGAGTTCGGTTCGACGTACGGCGATTTTCGGCAGCAAGCTCTTTCTTGATGACCTTTAGTAACGACGAGGTGGCATGTCCCTCTCGTGGGGAGCTGCGGCTGGGTAGCTACGGAACGCAACGCATTATTAGTCACAAGACAAAAACCGTACACCACTGGCTGACGCTTGGACAGTGGGACGCGCACGCAACATGTCGTCCGACGGCATAAATAAATCCAGCCGGTAGAATTTCGGCAGTTTTGCTTTTAGCAAATGTATTTTTTTTAAATTCGGTGCGCTAGTCAGAGAGACGCCTAACTCACGGACGCAAATTGTGGAAATAAAAATAGATAACAATTAATGGTTCTTACCGTCTGGTCATGTAAGGGTCGGCTGCAGCTCTCTCGTATCTAAAAAGAAAAAAACGCATATTTTTTTGTTAGATTTAGTGCTTGGGTAGAATTTTTAGTTTTGGCTTAGACATAAATCAGAGATTAAAAAAACTAAGGGACTTCATTACATTGATTGTATTGTTACGGCCGGTTACGGCTATCATAATGGTTAGTTAATTTGAAATATAAAGATTATCTCACCCTCCATAGCCACCAGCAGAAGGTGGGGGTGGAGTCCTGCGGGCATACGCATCAGCAGCAGGTCTTGCCTCGTACATAGGGCGCCTGTCATAAGTGCTTGGAATAGCTGCTGGAGGTGCAGCTTGTCTTTCAGGGTAGGTGCGGCTCATGTCACTGTAGCCGTTGGCAGGTGGCCGTCTTTCATAAGTGGCTGCTGGCATGGCAGGGGCGCGCTCTGCCTCCCGTCCACCCCATCCTCCTGTCATTTGTCTGCAAAATAGTGAAGAAAATGTTCATCAAAGAGTTTTAGGAAAGTGTTTATAAATTAACCTGTCCCTACTGGGCATCATGCTCTGCTGTTGACGGCCATAGCCATAGGCATCGTAGCCATTTGAGCCGCCACGGTCATACTCCTCGTAGCCACCTCCATATCCATTCCTAGGCTGCGGAGGCCCACTAGGCCCACGCCTGTCATATTCTCTGGGCACCTCCCTAGTGTAAGGGGGCCCTCTGCTTGGTGGTCCGCCACGGCCGCCGTAGCCACCTCCGAAGGATCTTCCACCACGTCCGCCTCTCATCATTGGACCTCCGCCTCCACGACCTCCACGCCCACCTTTCTTTCCTGTTGATTGCTGTTGATGAAGTGCAAAATAAAAATTAGTTAAATAGCAAAATTATAAAATTTATTTCTTTAACCTCAACGCTGATCTGTGAGCCCATGAAATTGTAGTTGTCAAGGTTGCTAATGGCCTCAAGAGCCATTTCCTCTGTCTGCATGTGCACAAAACCATAGCGGTTGAGGATGTCGCACTCGGTGACAACACCATAGCGTTCGAACAGACGCCGAAGGTCGGGTGCTGTAGCGTTTTCAGGAAGCCGGCCCACAAAGATTTTCGTCTTGGGCGGATTCGCTCCGGTGCGAATTTCTGCAGAGTCGTAATCTAAAAAATGAGAAAAAGAAAGTTAACTGATTAGAGGGTTAAAATATCAAACGTAATCGAGAATTATGTGTGCGCCGGTTAGCTGCGAGTTGTGATTCGCAAAAATGGCGGTCGAATATTTTAATCGTGAAAACAACACGAGTCTGTCATTTACAAACAAAGTACATAAAAATTATTTTTAATGTGAGTGATTCAAAGATTCATCTTACCGATACTCATGTTGTTTCTGCTCGTATTTTGTAGGGAATTGTATTCAGAAATAACTTCTTGATACCGCTGAAAAGGAGATGATACTAAATTCTGATTAGAATTACTCCCCAGTCCCCACCACTTTATGATGGCGTCCCTTTAAATGAAGCGGAGGTCGTGATTTGATCTTTAGAGTGGTCTCAAATTTTTTATTTAATCTGATTCAAACATTAAAATTTTATAATTTAAAATGTTGAACAAAATTATAAAAGCAATACCGGTACTGAAAAATGGCTGAATTCGTAATAATTTAATAAAAAGCAATTCATTGTTTAATGTTTAAATGTTAGCGCCAGATAAAATTGATGTGCGCAGTGTGACGTACTTCCGTTCGCCGCAAGATCAACAAAAATTGCCCGTGCAGGAATTAAGGAGGAAGAACCCCGCAAGGGATTTCTTCAACGTAGATCTCATCGACTGCACGTCTGCAGAATGTTTTTCAAGACGTGAGAATATTGATTAGGAAGCCGCGGCATATTTTTTTTTTGGATTTGGACCGAATCCTTGTTTGGGCGAGTCGACATGAAGTGGAAACAGTGGTTGTTTTTGACTTGCTTGCTGTCTGCTCTGCTGGGTCTGGGTCTAGCTCTTCGAAAGGACCCCTATGAAGTTTTGGGCGTCAAGCGGTCGGCCACCAGTCCTGAAATCAGAAAAGCCTTTAAGCACCTGGCCAAGGAATGGCACCCGGACAAGAACAACAACCCCGAGGCGGAAGACAAATTTGTCGAGATAACACAGGCATACGAGGTTCGAAAAAATCAATCGTTTGCTTTGACACACTGCAACTGCACTGTCCTATTTACATGCATTTTTTAATCTGTTTTTCAGCTTTATTTCTCTCATCTTTAAATTGAAATTTGCTTCGGTGCTCTAAAATTATTAATGTGCATATTATACACAGTCATGAAAAAAAAAGAAAGAAATTTGCCTCTGAATAATTAAATGTTAAAAAAAAATCAATAATAACTATTTCTTAAATTTATATCTTTTTTCCATTTGCAGCTACTGATGGATCCTGATCGTAGAAAGAAGTTTGACAGTTTTGGCATTACTGAGGATGCTCCAGCATTCCAACACAAACCAGATTACAGTCAGTACAGAAGATTTGACCCTCTAGATGACCTCTTCGGCTTCCAGGGCAGCTCGTTCAGATTCCATTTTCAGGACAGAGACATAACAATCTTCCATAAGCTCAGCGTAACCACCAAGTCAGCCTCCAACTCTATATTTAATGACTTTTAATTAAAAAAAAATAATAATAATTTCAGAGCCTATGAAAACCACCTAGTGCCAAAGAGCTACAGGACTCCTTTCCTGATTCTCTTCTACTCAGATTGGTGCTTTGCTTGTCTGCAAATGGAGCCGATCTGGAGGCGCATCATGGAAGAGTTGGAGCCTATTGGTGTTGGAATTGCTACGGTCCACTCTGAGAATGAGCCTCTGCTTGTCAAGAAGGTTGGGGTCAGTTCTCTACCCTTGTTGGTCCTCCTCATGGATGGCAAGGCCATGCATTACAAAGAGTCCCTCTTCAGTGTGCAGAAAGTTGTTGGTAATTAATAACAATATTAATTGTACAAAGCGCTCAACAGAAATCTAGCAGCGCATGTAGAAAAAATGATTTGCAAAAGATCTCAAATTTTAATTTTAATATATTTTTTCTTATTGTTAGAATTTGTAAGGAGTAAGTTTCCCTACAAGTTGGTGCAACCTGTACACGATGAAAACATTGAAGGTTTCCTAAATTCCTGGACTGATAACAGAGTTCGAATCTTGATTTGCGAGAACCAAGAGTCGGTCAGACTACGATATATCCTGATGGCTTATTACTACAGGGACAGAGTTGCTTTTGGGTACTGCTAGAAACTAAACTTTTTATTAAGTACCTATTTAATTAAAAAATTAATTTGTGTAGGTTTGTGCAAGTTCGGTCACTTAAGGCTAAGGAAATTGTGCAGCGCTTCAAAGTTCCAACAGACAAAGACACACTTCTCTTGTTTAACGAGAACACCGAGAGGCCGGTGGCTAGTCTCAGCATGCCGGACATTCCAATTAAAACAATGCACGACATCATCAGCAACAACAAATATTTGCTCCTTCCAAGGCTCTCTTCTCAAGTAATGTCTGTCATATTGTGGATTATCACAGAAATGAGTTTTGTAACATTTGCAGGCAATGTTTGACGCCTTGTGCCCCCCAGATTCAGCCAGGCCGCGTAAGAGGTTGTGTGTAATTCTAGTGTCTCAAAACACACCATTCCACGACGAACCGCGCCAGGTACTGCGGCAGTTTGCTCAGGACACTTCCTACAGTTCCGAGAGGGTTAGATTCATGTACATCTTTAAGGAAAGGCAGACAGACTTCATCAGTGCCCTCACCACAGGTAAATTATAAATATTAATAACTTAAATTTTATTTAATTTAATTTATCACAAATTCAGGTCAAAACAGTCCACCTGAACCAACCCTGCATGTTGTAATTATTTGGAGGTGTGACACAAGACGAATCAAGTATGACTGGTTGCCCGAAGGCTGGGGCAACTCTGGGCAACCACAGTGGAATGCATCGCGAGAGCGTCTCACCACCACCATTCAGCGCCTTCTGCAATCTGCTGATGCTCTGAGCTATGAAGCCATTGTGCAGGTACTAAAATGCATTCTATCCGCTGTTAGGTTTTGTTTGAAATGAAGATTGAAAAATTATTAATTCCTGGGAAAAATTTAATTTCAGGAACTGATTGACGAGCATGCACAAGGAATGGTTGGCAGGATATTGAATAAAATTTTTGTAGCTACTGAGTATCTGCGTGACAATGTCACTAAAGAGCAACTCTTGCCCGCACTCTCAGTTATAGGCACTGTTCTCTTTATTGTGGTCGCTGGATACTTCATGGCATACTTGGTGTAAGTAAAAAACTTTTGATTTTTACACCGGTCTTAAAATTTTTCGAGCAGGCGTCTAGAGGAAGAGAAAATTGCCAAAAGCAGCTCAAATGGAATGGGTGGTGGGAAACTGCAGAACCCACAGCAGCAGTTGAAGCTTCACGAGCTGCGGCCAGAAACATACAACGGAATGGTGCGTCTTCTAAAACCAGGGTGCAGAACCATCGTACTGCTGGTTGATCAGGAATCCCGTAAAGAGCTGCTCATCAAATTCCACAAAACTGTGTGGCCCTATAGGAAGTAAGTCTGGGATTTATTAATTTTTTATTTTTTAATGAGTTTCATTCAGGAACAAGACCCTGATGTTTGGGTACTTGAATCTGGAGAAGGGTCTTGAATGGTACAAACGGCTGCTCATGCTGAGTCTGCCAGAACCACGGGACCTCAACATCAACCCAAAGAACTGCATTGGTACAGTCATTTCTCTGAATGGGCACAGGAAGTACTTTTGCATGTACCATGCCAAGCACCCCGAGAGCATGAAGGGTAAAGGGTCAAAGGTGAATGAATATATTCCATTGATTTGTGAAATGTATTACTCGATACTCATTGACAGTATTCAAGTTTTAAATGTTTGAATCACTTTCAGCGGTTGGCGAGAATGACCAAGAGAATCAGCAACTACGAGGCAGGAACAAATGGAGCATTTATGGGATTTGAAACCTCCGAGTCTGAGGACACTGAAAACTCGGATCTGGAGCAGGGACCGCCTGTCAAAAATGTATAATTATAATTTAGTTAGTTAGTCGTTTCCTCATTTTCAATTCTTACAGGGAATGAACAACGACAGGTACAGCAATGTGGTTTTTAAGGAGAATCTGTTGGATGGCCTGGCAAACTGGCTAGACAGGCTCTTTGAAGGCAGCACATATCGCTACTACATCAACTACTGGCCGGATTTTCCCAATTACTGATTCTCCCTTTGGTTGTTTTTAAAGACCTTTTTTGATCAAAACACTAATTTTATTTATGATTTAAAGACTGTTGGGCCACATTTGGTTTCCAAATATCTATATTAATTAGTTATTCAGCGCTTTTTGCCATTTTATACTAAAATAAGCATGTGCCATACTTTGAAAACAAAAGGAGACTTGTTTCAAATTGAAGCCTCCTAAAATAATGGAATCGTTAAGCACGCTATTATCAATTTTTTTGTATCATGTCAATCTCAGCAGAGCTGAAATATTACACTTAGTTTTTTGCTAGTCCCCACCTGTCGTTGATTTGTGCCCTGACAGATAAAAAGATGTTACTGTTGCTTGTTTTAAGAGTTACTGCATGCTATATTGATCTAACACGAAATTGTGATTTTAAGACGTTGAATGACCACATAAGGGCACAGATGAGATGTTGTGATGTTTGTCGTATACATATGTGTAATTTCAACACTTCAGTTCTCTCCCCATCCGATAATCAGTTGTTAAAATACCATTCTAGTCAGTTTGTACGGTTGCTTGACATTTTAAAAAAGGAATTGCTTCAACCAAGTGCCAATTAATTTCCTTGCATAATTTATATCGATATACTTAAGAACAATCACACCTTTTTCCCTTGAAATTTAATCCCACCACCACAGACTTTGTGACAAAAAGGTCCCACGGTATACTACTGCACTTGCAATTTAGCTCTCTAAATTATTAGTTGGAACGATAAAATGATATTAAATTAAATCACACTGGTCACAAAAAGATACCTCTTGTATCCTAGAATAGAATAATCACAAGATAATCCAAAAATTATAATTATTATTACAACTTGCCAAAAAAAGGCGCTGATAAATGTTTTTCTAATATTCCTGGAACCGTAAAAATAAAACATTAAAGAATAAATATTTGCCTCATTTTAAAGTGCCTTTTAATACATATTAATAACAGGAACAATAATATGAATTTTTACAGCTGGGGAGGAGACGTGACCGCGTCAAAAATAAAATTAATAGCATAGATGGATGGGCATTTGATTTTTCACGCATTTTACCAAAACAGTTTTAAACTGATAAGAAGAGGTGATCCTCAGATTAATCAAACTATTAACAACTTGAAGCAGACTTTATTCTAGGCTTCACTACCCGGGGGAGGAAAGTCTGTCGGGTCGAAGCCGAGCTGCTCATCTCACTCACTGTTTTGCGCTAACCTGCCGCATTTTCATTATTTTAATTTTTAACTCTTCTACAATTTAAATATTTCTGTTATACCTTGGGCCTACTGGAAGCAGTTAAACTGTTGAAGTCTTTGGCACAGTTTGACCAGGCAATTCCAATTCCAAATCCTCCTCCAAGGATGACAGGCCAGCGTCGACCTTATCGAGAAGTTAATTTAATTTAAGCAAACTGCAATTTATTTATAGCATTATGCTTCTTACGTTTGAAAAAGAGCAGGGAGGAAATTGAGCCCAGAGCCAGACCTCCTCCTGCAGCAGAAGAAATTTTAAGTTAAAAATTTCTTGTCAAAAATCTGCGAAAGGAACTTCAAATTTCAACAATGCAAATTTAAAAGCAGAACGTTTTCCAGTCAAAATTCACAATCTAAAAACAAACTGAATTTAATAAATTTATACGTGGTTTTATACCGAATTTGATGATGCCGTCGGTGACGCAGTTTTCGGCACTTTTACCGAAATCCAGCTCTGGGGTCGGCATTGTGACAGGTGCCATCTTTCCGAAAGATTTTCGAGACTCGTTTGTTTTCCGTTCAAAACCAGCGCCTTCAAGATTCTTGCGCCATCTGTTTGTTGAAAAAAACAACAATAAAAAGAGGAGGAGCGTTTGTTGCTGGTTGCATAACCTAACAGATCCAGCTGGTTTCGTCACTGCAAAAGAGTTGTCCGTTTTGTCCAAGTAAAATCAAAGAATTTTAGCCATGGCCAGCGAGATGCTGTTGCAGAAGGTTGGCCGTGGCCTTGCCATTCAGGTTAGTTGACACGTGAACGTTTAAATGGAGTGAGAATTAGAATTCAAGAGTTAAAATTGTTTAACTAAAAAACACAATCCAGTTTCGACGTCTTTTTTTGTCGCAAACTAGCTTTCCCCTCATAACTTGTCGTTTCTGTGTGATTTTTCCATGATATTTGATATAATTGTCCGAAGTAAAATTGAAGTTCTTTATATTGTTGCATAACAAACGGAAAAAGAGAAAAAGTTGGTCACAAATGATGAAAATGTTGAAATTTGTTCTAAAAATTTTAGGCTCGTGGATTTCACGTCTCAGCAGCTGCAGGATCTGCGAACCGCGTCAAGAAATTCCAAATCTACCGATGGAACCCCGACACACCGAACGAGAAGCCTACCATGCAAGAATACTCAGTTGACCTCAACAAGTACTGCGCCTAATTGCAAATACATGCTCGAGTGTTATATAACTCTGATTTATTCAAGGTGCGGTCCCATGGTCCTGGATGCCCTGATCAAGATAAAAAATGAGATCGACCCAACGCTGACCTTCAGGAGGTCATGCCGTGAGGGTATCTGTGGCTCCTGCTCTATGAACATTGGTGGGGTCAACACCCTGGCTTGCATTACGTAATGCAGTGTTTAATTCTTGTTGCTCTAATTGTAATGTTTATAACTTTAGGAAAATTGATGACAATTTGTCCAAGCCAGCAAAGGTGTATCCCCTGCCGCACATGTATGTGGTCAAGGACTTGGTGCCGGACATGACTAATTTCTACAATCAGTACAAGTCGATCCAGCCGTGGCTTCAACGTAAAGACGAAACACGCAAGGGAAGTCAACAGTACTTGCAGAGCGTTGAGGACAGGCAGAAACTGGTTAGGCCTAAATCATAGAAAATTACGGAATTATAGCAAATAATAATGTTTTTTCCCCAGGATGGACTCTATGAGTGCATCTTGTGCGCCTGCTGCAGCACCTCATGTCCTTCCTACTGGTGGAACGGCAACAAGTATTTGGGCCCTGCTGTTTTGATGCAGGTGTGTAAACAATCAAATAATAAAAAATGTGGCACATGATACTAAAATTATCTCCCAAATCAAAGGCCTACCGATGGATCATTGATTCTCGAGATGAGACCACGGCCGACCGACTCGACCGCTTGAAGGATCCTTTTTCAGTGTACAGGTGCCACACAATCATGAACTGCACTAGAACCTGTCCAAAGGTAATGTTAGATGAAAGATTTGAACTTATTTAACTTTTTCGTTTCCTATTAGGGACTGAATCCTGGCAAGGCAATTGCTGAAATTAAGAAGCTGTTGGCTGGCATTAGCAAGAAAGATGCCCCTGGCATGGACACCACTGCCCTTCAGCGTCAATAATTATTTGCTAATGCTACTTACCTTTGTAGATACTGGTTGTTATTTAATTAATGTGGTGCAATGAGAATAAATAAAAACGAACTGTCATTCCACCTTACAGAAATTTTAAAACTTTTACTAAAAAAAATTAAAAATTAATCGAGTGATGTTATCATAATTTTCTAATTGAAAAAAAATGTACCAAGTATTTATTGGGAAAATGTTTGTTAAAGGGATGAATAATGAGCACAGTATTGAGACAAGACGAGACCTTTGAACTTTAGTCTCTTCCCGCCATTGTTTGAACTTACAAGGTACGCATAGTCAAGTAGTTCCTTCACTAGTTTTTATATTCTTTAAAATAAAAGGAATTTATTGAAAAATATAAAGACAATTTTTAATCATTTAATTGATTTTGTATGTTTTAAGTTTTAATCTCACATATTAATGGACGATTTAAGAGAAATCTGTTTGCCACAAGAGTGAGCGGCCGGCGATTGTTGCGCGGAGACCGGAAAAAGGAAACGCTCATTTTGCACTTTGCAGTCTGCTGTCGGTGAGTATGGGCGTCCGTGCTCGCGAATGCATTTTTGAAAGACGAATTTGACGCGTCGCCGTCCGTTTTTCAGGGAGACACGCATCGGGCAAGCAAACAGGGAATGCATGTGTAAAATTCACCAAGGACGGACCCTCTGGATACAGTAAAGTGAGTAAAATCTTCCGATTGAATTCGCTTCGAACATGCACGTCAATACAGCGAGATGACACGTCGACTCGGCCGAAGGGTCGTCCGCGTGTTTGCTCGGCCAAAGCGCTGACAAATTGCGACTCGGAGTCAATAAGTCTGCGCCCGTCGTCTTGTTCGGCGGGTAACTGCCGTCGTCGGCCGACAACAGGCCGATTCGACGAGCGCAACGGATGCTGGATGAGCGACGTGTCACACATCTCGCAGCTTGGCACGCTCATACACACGTTTTACCATACGGTGTCCTGTTTACAAACTATTAAATTTTCTTATTTCTTATATTAGTCTCTAAACTTTTGATAAGCCTATACCCAATATTAAGGTTTTCAACCAGTGATTTTCATGGTAAATTTGAGATTTTTGGTAAAACTAAAAAATCACGTGGTGATGGATCTCAAATGAAGGACCACCCGGAGCCATTTAGTTATTACCATTTTGTTAATCCCTTCGTCTCTAGACTGAAAATGTGATCCTATTTTCAATTGACCATTTTTGCCCTAGCCAGTCTTCAGAAATTAACTTGAAATGATTTTCAAAATTTTTTCTAATGGATTTAATTTTTAAAATTAATTATTAAAATTTCAGTGTTACTGTAACGACTTGGCGCGAACAAGGACTTTCCCTAAGTGCAGCAAGCAATGATGGAAGGAGAAGCAGCTTACGAGCCCCCAACAGCAGCCCCCACATTTAGTTATGATGAGGTGTTCCCGGCGCTGCCCGAATCGGCGCCCGGTGCCCAGCCCTCATCCAACCAGATGGGACAATGGAACAACAAAATGCGCGTCGGCTCGTCCGTCGTCACCCAGGTCTTCAGAGTGCCTTACGAGGAGCGCAAACTGGACCTTAGTGAACGCTTCGGAGAAGGCGATTCTAAGGGTCAGTAATTTGAACAGATGATTATTATAATAAATTAACATTTAAAAAGAATTTTATGATTCCAATGACTTGGTGGAAAAATAATATCGTACAGTTGAGCATACTTTGTTGTACTAAAATATTTATACTAAATTGCGCTCCAACAACTGGAAATTTTATGAAACACGGGAAATCATATTGATTGATTGCCTGTGTTTCCCTGGTTTCAAACGTTAATAGAAAAACTGACTATTCCAGGCATCTGTCATGACATAATGGATGAGACAAACGCGCACATTGAGATTTCGCAATCTAAAGACCAGTCGCTGACATTCCTGGTCACCGGCAAGCAGAGCGCCGTGTTGGAGGCTCGTAGAAAGATTCTCACGCATTTTCAAACCCAAGCCAGCACCACTATCAACATCCCCAAGGAATACCACCGCTTCATCTTAGGCAAGGGTGGCAACAAGCTGAAGGACCTGGAGAAAGCAACAGCCACGAAAATCTCTATTCCCCCAACGGCTGACTCTTCTGACAAAATTGTAATCACTGGCACCAAGGAGGGCATTGAGAAAGCAGTCCATGAAATCAGAGTGACCTCGGACGAGCAGTCCAAGCAAGCCTACGAGAGGCTTGATGTGCCAAAGGTATACCATCCCTTCATCTCCGGTGCCCACAATGACAACCTGACCGCCCTGACGAGTGAAACTGGTGTCCGCATCAACATCCCACCCCTCTCTGTCCAGAAGGATGAAATCACCATTGCTGGCGAAAAGGAGGGCGTTCTCCTGGCAAAGCAGAGGATCCTCAGCATCTACAACGAGATGGTACATGCAGTTAACTTATTTTTATTATTGTCAATTAAATTACGCATGATGATCCGATGACGAGGCTGATTCTTCCTCAGAGTTAGAACGGGGCAAGTTTTTTGCCCCAGCCTGACGATAAGGAATGTTAAGATGCCATGGCACTTCTGACTTTTAAAAATTTTACTGCTTCAGCGCTTTTCTGTTTTAATTGCTAAAGCTAATCAACTCTTGATTGTTTGCAGGCCAAGAAGTGCACAACAGTATCAGTGGAAGTGTCCAAGTCCCAGCACAAATACGTGATTGGGCCACGAGGAAACACAATTGCTGAAATTTTGCAGGAGACGGGGGTGAGTGTGGAGATGCCTCCAAGTGACATTGCCACTGACACCATCACCCTTCGAGGACCTCAGGACAAACTTGGACAAGGTAACCGTGTCATTCCCCCTGTATTGATAGATTTATTATAAAGTGGTCTTTATTAGCCTTGAGCATGGTTTACCTTAAGGCCAACTCGGTTCGCACAGCCACTGTTGGTGCGCCTGCTTGGATCCACAAATATATCATTGGACGCAAAGGTGCCAACATCAGATCCATGACTCAAGACCTCCCCAAAGTATGTGTTGATGAAAATGATTCCTGAGTCATTTTTATAATTACGATTTTCTAGGTGCATGTTGAATTCACAGTTATCAATGACAAAGAAGGCAAAATCAAGATTGAAGGCCCTCCTGAGGAAGTCGAAAAAGCACAAAGGGCACTTGAGGATATGGTGAAAGATTTGACCTCCAAACTGACTTTTGAAGAGATTGTTGTGGACCCCAAATTTTACAAGCACATCATTGGAAAGAGTGGAGTCAATAGTAAGAAGACAATAAAGTAGATAACAATATTTTGATTCAATTTTCATTATTACAGTTAATCGAATTAAGGAGGAAGCTGGAGTTGTGATCAACATTTCTGATAATGATGGCAAGAACATTATCCGCATTGAAGGAAACCAGGAGGGGGTTGCTGCTGCCAAAAAAGTACAGTATTCCCTTCTATTGTATAGGCGATTAGACTTAACATATATTTAAATTAGGAGCTGGAGGAAACAGTGCACAAATTGGAAAACGAGAAGGAACGGGACATAATCATTGATCGGCGGTTCTACAAAACTCTGATTGGCTCCAAAGGCGAGAAGATCAAGGAGGTGCGTGAAAAGTTCAACCAGGTGCAGATCACGATTCCAGGCCCAGGTGACAAGCGGGATGTAGTCAAGATCCGTGGAGTTAAAGATGATGTTGACAAGTGCTACAAGTATATGCAGAAGCTGGTGAAAGAGCTAGGCGAAAACAACTTTGTACTGGAGGTGCCCATTTACAAGCAGTTCCACAAGTACATCATAGGTAAGGGGGGTGCCAACATACGCAAGATCAGGGACGAAACTCAGGCAAGGATAGACCTACCCGGGGAGGGTGAAAAGAGTGACGTCATTACCATCACTGGCAAGAAGGAGAGTGTTGAGGAGGCTAGGGACAAAATCCAGAAGATTCAGAATGACATGGTAGGCTACTTAATTGATTATTTCTCTCTGTCTTAAAGATTTTATTGTTAAACATTATTTTATAATTAACAGGCCAACATTGTGAGCGAGGACATCACAATTCCTCCAAAGCACTACAATTCCCTGATTGGTGCTGGTGGCAAGCTTATCCATGCCATCATGGAGGAGTGCGGTGGAGTGACCATCAAGTTCCCACCGGCCGAGAGCAACAGCGACAAAGTTACCATCCGTGGCCCCAAGGATGACGTGGAGAAGGCCAAGCAACAGCTGCTTGAGCTCAGCACTGAACGCCAACTGTCTGGCTTTTCGGCTGAGGTGCGTGCCAAACCCCAGCACCATAAATTCCTCATTGGAAGAAATGGCGTCAACATCAAGAAGGTAAAGTTTATAGAGTGCATAACAACTCTTACTCTATAAAAACAAAACTGTTCTGTCACAGATCAGAGACTCAACTGGTGCTCGTATCATGTTCCCAACGGACAAAGATGATGACAAAGAAGTAATTACTATTGTTGGGAAGAAGGAGGCAGTCGAAAAGGCCAAAGCTGAGTTGGAGGCTACCATCAAGGAGATTGTAATTGTTTCAAAAGCTAATTATAATTAAATCACATTTTTTCTTCTCTGATCAGGACAATATTGTGGAAAGCGAGATGCGCGTAGACCCAAAATACCATAGGCACTTTGTGGCAAGGCGAGGCGAAGTGCTGCACCAGATTGCGGACCAGTATGGTGGTGTGATGATTTCCTTCCCCAGGGCGGGTGTCACTTCTGATAAGGTGGTACTGAAGGGCTCTAAGGACTGCGTGGAGGGAGCCAAGCAGCGCATTGAAGAGATCGTCCAGGACCTGGAGTCGATGGTGACAATTGAGTGCGTGATTCCCCAGAAGCTGCACCGCACAGTGATGGGCGCCAAGGGCTTCAAGGTGCAGGGCATCACCCAGGAATTTGACGTGCAGATCAAGTTCCCCGAGAGAGACAATGTAAACAACGGCAAACAGGAAGGGGAGCAAGTCAACGGTGGCGACAGTAGAACCAGCGACACGATCCGTATCACTGGCAAGCGAGAGAACTGTGACAAGGCTAAACAGGCGCTGCTTGACCTCATGCCCGTGACTATTGAGGTCAACGTGCCCTATGAGTATCATCGTTCCATCATTGGCCAGAAGGGTCGCGACGTGCGTGAAATGATGGAGAAGTATGATGTGCACATTGTGCTCTCACCTGCAGACCAGCGACTCGATGTCATCAAAATTTCTGGAACACCAGCCTGCGTTGCTAAAGCCAAGGAGGCTGTTGAGGAGCGTTGCAAGCAGCTCGAGGAGGACCGTCATGACAGGCAGCTGCGTTCCTTTGAACTCAAGGTCTGTATCTTACTAGTCAATTCTATTACAACTTTGAAAGCTAGCTTCACTTGGAATTTAAATATTCTCATATTATCAGTTTGATAGAAAAAAATATAATTATTGTTGTAAGGTGAAAATGATTTCTTGTAGAAAACATTGTTTTATGTTCTCTGGGAAGCTAGCTCTAAAAATAATAAAAACATTTAATGATGATCAAGATGACGAGGCTGATTCGATTCCAGATTGCTCTGGTTGCAAGTTTTTTGCCTCCTATGCACTCTGTAGTTGATAAGATGCTTGGCTAACGCTGATTAATTGTTTTTACTATCCAACGTCACTCTATGTTTTAAGCAATTTTTGGTGATGAGTTTTTTTTAATTCGCAGCTTGAGGTTGACCCTGACTTCCATCCAAAGATAATTGGCAAGCGCGGTGCTGTGATCACGAAAATTCGTCAGGACCATGATGTGCAGATAAACTTTCCAAAGAAGGGTGATGCTGAGGAGCACATCATCACTATCACTGGCTACGAGAAGAATGCTGAGTCTGCTAAGGAGGACATTCTGAAAATTGTCAATGAGCTGGTAAGATTTTGTCTTGTTTTTGGAACCTTGGAAGTTTATGGTAAATTCTTTTACAGAACAAGATGGTTAAGGAGCAGGTGTCGATCGACCACAGGGTGCACGCGCGGCTGATAGGCCAGCGTGGCAGGGCCATTCACAAAGTGATGGAGCAGTACAGTGTCGACATAAAGTTCCCTAGGAGCACTGATCCCGACCCAAGTCTTGTTACCATCATCGGTGCTGAGGATAATGTGGCTGACGCCAAAGAGTATCTTCTTAACCAGACCGAGGAATACGTAAGTGCAACATAAGTGACTAATTATTTGGATTTGCTGCAATAGAAGATATTTATATAACAAATCTGGTAGATTATTTAAAATTAATGTGTGCAATTTGGTGTGTCCAGATGCAGGATGTGAATGAGCAGATGGAGCTGCAGCAGTACACGCGGCACCCGTCGCGCACTGACAAAGATGCTGCGGGCGGTGCCGGCCCCGGAGAAACAGGGTTTGTGGTGAAGGGCGCCCCATGGGAACAGCCGCAGTCGACGCCCAACACATCCAGCATTGAGGACTTCCCCTCGTTCGGTGGCGATAACCAGGGCTCTGCTCCAACCACCAGCGGCCCATGGGGCCCCAGGCGCTAATTCTTCGCCCCCTTCAGCTCGCTTAGCCTCTAGCCACACAGTCGAGAAGCTCATCTAGCTCAATAACCGATTTAAAGAAGAAAAGAAATTACACATATACACGAGAATAATTCAAACATAAACACAGTTTCCAGTTTTTAGTTTGTCTTGGGGTGGTGAAAATTGATTTGATTTTTCCAGCTATTTTATCCTCCTTAGTTTTAATTATATTGTTTTTTACTACACGCGTAATCCATTTAACGATATAATTATTTAGCAATGGTAATTATTCTCATTAACCAAGAAAGCAACAAAAAAAAAATCACAAAAGAGCAAAGAATGTTGCAAAAATTTAAATTGAAATGCAATTCCTTCCTCACTGGCTCGCTGCAAACCGACCTTGGCCTGCCTTTCTGGACTTTGATTGACGGATAATGTTTGGACGTTGACACGAGTCTTCCTGTAATGCTGTTTTGAGAAAAACATTTGAGATCATGTTTGTGTATTCGAAAAACATTTCGGAACCCGGTAGTAATTTTTCCGTTATGCTGCAGATTAATTGTTATTACCTTTTAATGATTTATCTAAACTTTTATGTTCTTTAGTTACTGTTTGATATTTTTTATTTTTTTTTTCGTCTGTAGCATTTCTTGGGAAGAGCCATCCGAGTGATTTGAACTTAGAATGTACGAAACCAGTGATAAAGAAAAAGTGCACGCACGATTGATTAATCGATTTTATGCCCGATTTTCCATTCTAAGAAATTTAAGTAATGTTTACCAACTTTGCGTTTGCTCATTTTGTAATTTTCTGATGATTATTGTAAAGAAGCAATTATTTTTACTTGCGCGCCATATTAACGGGCACTTTCAAAAATGTTACGGAAAGTAATTGAGAAAACAGAGAGACACACACGAGGAAAACAAAATAGACTGACGTTTTTAAAAAAAGATTAAATTACCTGCGAAGGTGTAAAAAACAAAAATATTACTGAATAATATCCTATTGCAACTGCAGTTTTTTGTTCTCTTTTTTAATTGAAACACATAAACACAGCGATTCAACTCTATTATTGTGTTAAATGAATGTTTTTCACGCATTATTGTTTTACTTAAATTTTATAAAAATATGGGAGAAAAGTGATTTATGTGTTGCTATACATTGCGGATAAAAAGGAATCATTTTTGTTCAATGCTCTTCATCATGAACAACCGAAAAGGAAATATTATTTATGAAAAAAGTACGCAGATGAGTGAGTGAACGATACAAATTGATTACCAGCTAACGTCCTTTGAGGAAGAAAGAACTCGATAATGAACCTTCACTGGTGCTATAAATTGGGCATATTATTGTGAATCGGGAACTTTGTTAGGGCATACAAAAGACGAACCTGTTTGAATTTGCCTGGTGTCTTACACGCGCATTATTGTGTACTGTTAATTGATATATTATGAAAAAAAAACTAAATCTACATATTACATTGTAAGAATATAAAGGTGGCAAATCAAATAAAACTGACAATGTTAAACAAACACACGTTGTTTTGTTTCTTACATTGACTTAAATTTTCTTAAAAACCTAGCAGATATTTATGATTTGTGTATGATAGTTTACATATAGTTTAGTTCTCAACATTAGCTTGGTGAATTAGACTTACAACTCGTATTAGGCATCAATAATGCATCTTTATTGAGACTTGAGACGTAAACAAATCTAGTGATTAACAAGAGAGATTAATTAGAGGGGTCATTTTTAGTTTACAAAAAATTATGATTTTATAATATTGTGTTTATTGGGCAAATTCAAGTGTTAAATTTTTTAAAGAATTAATTGAAATAATATAAATGTATGGCAATAAGGAGTGATGAGGAGTATCATTAAGTAGAAAATTAAACATTATTATGATTATCATGTAACTTCAAATAACATATTTTACCATTTACTGACATTTAACAATAATAAGAAATGACCGGTCAATATAAATGTGTTGAAATTTCTTTAAACTATAATTGAATCTTGAATCTCTATATAATAAAAAAATAATATTTTACGATTTATTAGATTATGTGAATAAGAATTCATTTATAATCTTCACTTAAAAAAGGTATTTTTTTTTATATGACGGAATATTTTGCAAGAAATTTTTATCGCCGCGCCTCTTGAATTCACCCCATCTTAAGTGGGCGTGGCCGGATTGTGTGACAGATAAACATTAAACAAGCCATGCAGTGTCATAATTATCACCAATTGTGTTTGTTTTTTAATTAACAAAATGAAATGAGCTTTTATTTGCTCAAGTAAGGATTAAGGAAACGAGCCACGGAAATGTTCCGAACGAACGAGCAGCGAAATCATCCAAAATGAAGCATCGAATCCTGTAAAATACATATTTCCTTTAATCCTCTTCACATTATTAATAAATAACACTTTCTGTGAATTTCTTATCTTCAGCATGGCCTCTGATTTTTTCTATCCAAACGTCGGAGGAGTTGAGGAGCACATCTACAGCTTGTCACAATGCCTCATCGCCAGAGGCCACAAGGTCGTCGTGGTCACTCACTCGTATGGAAAAATAGTCGGCGTTCGATGGCTACCAAATGGTCTCAAGGTATAATTTTTGTTTTTATTATAAAATTAATCATATTGTCCTTAAAAAATGCAAATATTATTTAGAGACTTCACGGTGCGAGTCTAATGCCATAATAAAATTTGAGGGTGAAAAAAAAGATATATGTGTGCAAAATATAAAACAATACATGAAATATTATTTTATGAATTCCAGGTGTTCTATCTTCCTCTGAGGACTTTTTACAACGGCTGCATTCTGCCCACAATGATCGCCACCATACCCTATATCAGACACATTCTAGTCCAAGAACGGATCACTTTAGTCCACGGTCATGCAGCCTTCTCAACCATAGCCCACGAGGCTATGAACACTGGACGACTAATGGGACTCCATGTATGTTACCCTATTCCTGTTTTTGAACGACCCAATGTGATTAAATTTTGATTTTAAAATTTTCTTTTAGACCGTATTCACAGACCACTCTTTATTTGGCTTTGCGGACTCGTCAGCCATAATCACAAATATGTTCCTGCGACTGAGCCTCGTCAATTGCACCCACTGTATTTGTGTCTCTCACATAGGGTAAACACTTTCTATTGTATTAAAAAAATAATAATATGCCATAATTATTTCTAGGAAAGAAAACACAGTTTTGAGAGCAAAAATAAAACAGGACGTAGTGTCTGTTATTCCAAACGCAGTCGACACAAAGCTTTTCACGCCCCAGCCTGAGCGCCGATCAAAAAACAGAAGTCTGAAAATAGTCTGATGAGGTTTTCTGTATTAATAATTTTAACCAATGTTTCAGTTACCATTGTGATTGTGTGCCGCTTGGTGTACAGAAAAGGTGTTGATTTTATGATTAATATCATCCCATTTATTTGTAACAACTTTCCTGACGTAAGTTGAGCGTTCAATTTATTATTTGTAATTTCTTATGAAAAAGAGTTTCCACGTGGAATTAAAAATATTAATGTTCTAAATTAGGTTCAATTTTACATTGTGGGTGATGGCCCAAAGAGAGAAGCGCTCGAGGAAATGTGGCAGAAGGAGCAGCTTGGCGACAGGATGCAAATGTTTGGTGCCTTAGATTTAAAAGGAGTCCGAGATGTGCTTGTGCAAGGCCACATTTTCCTCAATACTTCACTCACAGAGGCATTTTGCATGGCAATCGTAGAAGCGTCCTGCTGCGGGTATTTCTCATTCACAATTATTTTGCATCAAAATAATTATTTGTCTTTAAAAGGCTTCATGTTGTGAGCACCAATGTTGGTGGGATCCCCGAAGTCTTACCGGCAGATCTCATGTATTTGGCTGAGCCAGATGTGAATTGTGAGTTTCTCAAGTCCATATTGTGATTGAATTAATTAATTTATTTCAATATGCAGCATTAATATTGGCCCTCGAGAAAGCTATTTTAGACACTAGGGATAGTGTTGGCCCCAGTCCGTTTGAGCGTCACAAGAAAATCTGCTCTTTTTACAACTGGTACGATGTGTCTGAAAGAACCGAAAATATTTACAACACGGTGGTGAAGTTGAAACCAAAACCATTTGGGCAACAGTTAAGCAATTGGTATTTATTCCAAAAATTGTTAATTTTTTATTTTACAAAATTAAATGTTACATTTCAGTTTGCACCAAACCAAAGTCTACCCATTCCTGTTGGTCTTGTCGTTGTGCTATTTGATAATCAAGTTATTTGACTGGTATCGACCTCGTTATGTGAGTACAGCCCTTTATTAACTTGTTCTTCTGTCACTTTTTCCAACACACTTTTCTTTTGCAAAAAATTTTGGCATTGAAATGATTAATTTTTCAGCTGATTGATATTGCGCCCGACTATCCATCTAAGAAAAGAACGTCTTTCAAGCTAAACGGCAGATGATTTTTAAAAATTAAAATCAGAATTTTATTGAAATTTAATTATTTTACAAAAAGCATATCTGTTACCTCATTTGTTATACAATTTTAAATAAATGCGTAATTTTTTCAAGTCAATAGAATTTAAAACTGCAGTTTGGGGTAAGCTTTCTTGATCTGCACATCGTCAACGGGCCGGTCCGAGTTGTCTGTTTCAACCAAGCCGATCCTCTTGATCACATTCATGCCATTGTAGATGCGACCTGCAGACAAAAAATTAGCTCTAGACGCGCAATAAATACAATTACATACCAAAAATCGCATGCTTCCCGTCCAACCATTGCGTCGGAGCCAAAGTGATGAAAAACTGAGATCCGTTTGTGTCGGGCCCAGAGTTGGCCATGGAAAGAATTCCAGCTCCTAATAAATTTAACAATGAATACTAAAGAACTAAAGAAGTAAAAATTTAAATAAACCAGTGTGTTTTAACTCGGGATGAATTTCGTCTGCAAAATTTTTGCCATAGATCGATGACCCTCCTCGGCCTGTTGCTGTTGGATCTCCACCTTGAAATTTGCATCATTTAATCATTTTAGTTCAGAATAACTACTCGTACTTCTCGTAGATGTCAATTTTATACCTTGAATCATGAAGTCCCTGATTATCCTGTGGAATTTGGTGTTGTTAAAATAGCCCCTTCGGCACAATTCGGCGAAATTCCTGCACGTCTTTGGCGCGTGTTTCCAGTACAATTCAACCACGAATTCCCCCATTCTGTAAAAAATTAAGGTTCAGATTTATTGAAAATATCGCAAACTTCCAAATTATGTATTTTTTCATACATCATATCATGGTGCAAAGTGCAAAGAGAAAAAATAACACGGCGTGAATGTTTCCGCCAGAGGAGGCGGCAAACAAAATTAAGCGACTCAACTCACGTTGTTTCCATGACGCAAAACGGCGGCTGCCAAGAGCTGTCAGGGATTCCGGTATTTGTGGTCAATTGCAATTGGCTCATTGTGCAACTTTCTCTAGAAAATGAGTCGAAAATCGGAAAAAAAAATCTTGCACACTGCCTTGCCAGTTGCCTACTTTTGTTTGTTTTGTTTATGGTCGCGAAAGGGTTGCCCAAGTGCTGCCACCTGGTATGCAAAATAATTTTTTGAGATATTTTGGCGGTAAAATTGCGTGCAAATCGGAAATGTTATTATAGATTAAAATAATTGATTTATTAGGAAAACCTTAAATAGATTCACTGCATGGAAATACTCTAAAAATTCGCTGCCTAAACAAATTTAATTTAACGGAAATCTTTTTTCAAAAGAAGGGGCTAAGAACACTGATATTCGGTGTAATAATGGCGATAATATGGATAAAATGGCGCTATGGATCAATTATAATGTGTGATTGAGAAAATAATTTTTGTAATTTTTACCAAAGCGATACGCATAATTTTTTTATTCAGTTTTTGGGCGACACCAGCAATTTTTTACACAGATATAGTTAAATTGACCAACCGGAGTAATAAATACACATTCAAAGAAGAGAATCAAGTTTATTTCAATGCCTTTATAGCAATGGCTCATTGTCAGTAGTAATATGTGTCTGAAAATAATCCGGTTTTTTTTTATACCCGAAATATTATAGAAATTGAATGAACGGTAAGAAATAGAAAATAAGATATAAATGCAATTTTTTATGAAAGGGATCACCAGAAATCGACAAGTTTGAATCTCAATATTAACTAATTATTTTTCCATAGTTATGGTCTCAAAGGTTTAAATGTAGATATTTTTATATTTGTGAAAATGTGGACCAATAATAAATATATCAATATTGATTATTAATTAATAAAAGTCTATTATTAGAATAATATATTTAGAGATGTAAAATTTTTTATGCAAATTATAATGTATTTAAATAATTAAATTTTAATATATATTTTTTTTAATATTAATTTTAGCGAAAAAAATGACGTTTAAGTTCTTTGTGATTATGTAGTTCATGCTGAATTATTATTTATCATTAAATTTCTAGGCTAGGGAGAAATAAGATACGGAGATTTTTGCTTGATAGGAATTTCGCTAGAGTATTCATATATTTGGATGAAATGCGAGGTTATTATTACACATAATCTAATAAAATGCAAATTTGGACTTCTGGTTGTCTACAGTGATTCAGGTAGCGGTAAGACTTTCTTTCTTCTCGGTGTCCATTGTAATAGCAGTCGTCATTTTGGGCTTCCATTCATTTTGGCGGAGATAATACAACTGGAATCTAAGCCTTTTCCTCAGCAGCGGTTGTGACGTTGGAGGCTAGGCTGGTCGTGTCCGAACCCTTGCTCTTGTCCTGCGATATCAACCAGGGCAGACGCTTGTGCATCTGCTCCCTACGAATAAACTCAAAATTTTTCTTTCTGCGCAAAAAAAACACACTTTACCTGAACTTAGGGTGGCTGATGGCGTAGACCCAAGGGTCAACGCAGGCGATTGTCTTGGCGAAAACGGCCGGCACCATGGAAGCGAAAGGGGTCAGAATAGCCCTGTTGGGGTGGAAGGCGCCCATCAGTGCCACGGTTGCGTACGGGGTCCAGGCGCTGAGGAACAGGAAGAAGATTCCGCACGCAATTTTGGCAATCCTGATTTCAGCAGCCTTGTCGTCCTGTCCGCCTTGGGCCAAAGACTTAACTCCCATCTTCTTTGCCTGAAATAAAATACAAAATAATACATCATTTTTCTGTAATAAGACACTAAGATTGTTAAATGATTTTTTTTCCAAATTATATACAGTGCTTTTTTCTGCAACGATTTTCCACAATGAAATAAGTTTGAAATTGGTGATTTTAAATAAAAGAAGCCATTAAGAGGCAAACTCTGATTGATTAGCTTTTTGTGCTCTTTTTAGGCAAAGATTATTAAAGGGTGTATTAAGGTGAATTTTATTTTGCCAAATAACTGATTTTAGGAATCAAAATATATGAAAAGTTAAAAAAATTAGACGAAAAAGACAAAATTTGTCCAAAAAATTTAACTTCACGTGAAGTGATTTAAAATTCTCCCAATTAACCAAAAAATAACTTTAAATTCTTAAAACATTTTCATTTGCATGTGTAATTTAATAGCAAAATTAAATTATCTTCAGCTATTTAAAAAAAACTATGATTTGCAATTTTTTTTACCTGCTCGGCCATGGCCTTCTGGTGCTCCTTGACGTGTCCCAAGATCTTGGAGTAGAACAGTACAAGCAGGGAAACGGGGATCACGTAGCAGTAGACAAAGATGCACATGACAAACACCCGGACGTCCTGCGAGTTGGTCAGATAGTCAAAAGAGCAGGTGGTCAGATAGCCTTCAGGGGTGAATCGGTTCCAGATCTCAAAAGTGGGCAAAAGGTTGAAGGGCATCGTCCATATCCAGATGAACAGAACAAAGATAGATGCGGTTTTCATTGACATGCGACCGTCAAGAGGGAACGCGATACTCCTGTTAATTGAAAAGTGGTCTCAATTAAATATATTAATGATTTTAATATTGAATTTCAAAGAGACCGTGTGCTTTATTAAAATTAAAACATGTAAAATTTAGTGGCAAGTACTTTTCCAAAGGCCTTATTAGGATAAATGAGCTATAAATTGATGTTAAAACTGGAACGAAAATTCCAAATTTTCCACTGAATAAGCGAAATTCTTTGCAAATTTTGAATACAAAAAATTAATCGTAAAAGGCGGAACTTGCCTGTATCTGTCGTACGCTATGGCCACGTTGTTGACCGCGGCGCCTGACCCAGCGATTCCTCCAAGCGCTCCAAAAAGTTGGCAGCCCACCTTGCCCATGACCTGCCCCTGGTAAAGGGAATTGGCCACAAAAATAGGTAGCTGCGCCATCATGACCAAGTCGAGCACGGCCAGGTTGGCCACGAACAGGTTAGAAGAGGTTCGCAGAGACTTTGTACTGCGCGTTAATTTTTTTTATTTTAATAAAAAAAGTTCATATTTTATAAATTTTGGAAACTCACGTGCAGAAGATCCAGAGAACGCATCCGTTTCCAAAAACGCCTGCGATGAAGATAAAGGCGTATACGATTCCGAGGATGGTGTGGTCGGAAGAAGAAGCTGGAGGGAAGTTCAGCCAGTGCTGGTCAACCAATCCAACCAGTTCTGGTGGCAGGTCGACTCCGGCCAGAGACTCGGAGGCAAATCCAGTCCTTACGATTTTTCCAAATTAAAATTTCCAATTGCTAAATTTTGCAACGACCTCACCTTGCTGCAGCATACGGACCTTCAAAGGTAGAGTTGTACGCAGGAGGCAAGCTAGGATTTAGCAGCATCGTGTTCTCTGCTGTAGAAATATTGAGCGTAAAAAAAGGAAAAGAAAAATGTTAAAAAAAAAAAAAAATGAGTAAAAAATAGATTACGTTTTGAAAATTACTCCGAAAAAAAAATAAAAGTTGATGGTGTTGAGAGTGAGATGCTCGCAAGAGACCAGCACTGACGGGGAGCTTCTTGACCAGAAACTGGTGTTGCATCCTACGGGGGGCCACCGTTTTATAGCGCCGCGGATTCGGCGTAATCCTGTTATCGGTTTTATATGGAACACGCATTTGGTATTTGAAAGGCTTTCCTCTGAATAGATTAATCGCACATACAAAGCAAAGGCAGAGCACACAAAAATCCTCTAATAGTATTAGTAAGCCTCTGTTGGTAAACTGTTTGCGTATGGCTATTAATTAATAGCTTTTCTCTTTCTCACGTTCATGCTTTGTACGGTTTTCCGAATTCAAATTGGAAGGGCAAAAAGGCCATTCATACTTGATTTTACTGGGAGTGTATTTTCATGCATGAAATCATTAATTTTTTTTTTCAAGTTATTTGGTGCGGAGGTGGATTAATTGGAATGAAAATAATAAGTGCAGTTTTTGTTTTTTGTAATGCAGGGTCAAGGTTTATTTCGGGGGTAATTCAGTCCTCTTTGGAATATAGCTCTTCTTTTACAAATTAGTTGAGCGCAATTGCAAGTAGTCAGAGTGCAAGCACTCGTTCGGAAATTGTTGGTTTTCGCCAAAAGATTAAGGAAAATCAGAGGTTCGTCGTCGGTTAAATCCGATCGTCTGCTTAACAGGGCTCGTTTATGCATCAGCCTTGTCGGAGATGTTGGCAGTTTCGGCTGAGGCCATTGAAGAACTGTCAGAGGTTTTCTTGGCTGCAGTTGGGCCAGCAGAGATGAGCCAAGGGAACTTGTTGTGAATGTGCTCCCTGAATTTGGGGTGGCTGATGGCGTAGACCCAGGGGTCGAGGCAGGCCACAGTCTTGGAGAAGACAGCGGGCACCATTGAGGCGAAGGGAGTCAGCACGGCCCTGAAATTAATAAAAAAAAAAATCATTTTCAAATTGTATTAACACGCCAAAATATTTTAGTTTGGAATATTATATTAATTACTTAAGGAAAAAAAACTCTAAAAATAAACTATGCATTATAGTATTTTGCTTCGGCTGCATAATTATATAAATAAAATTTGCTGCGGTTATTGTTCATTCCAGAAAAGGGGAAGCCTTTTAATAATCTAAGTCTTTATAGTGTAAAATATTAACCTGTTGGAGCCGAAGCAGCCAAGGAGGGCGACGGTGGCATAAGGAGTCCACGCGCACAGGAAAAGGAAGAAAATTCCAACTGCGACCTTGGCGATCTTGATTTCGGCGGACTTCTCCTCATCGCCAGCGGTGAGGGACTTGACGCCCATCTTCTTAGCCTGCAGCCTCATGGCCTCCTCGTGAGCACGCACGTGGGCCAAGATCCTGGAGTAGAAGAATACGAGACACAGAACGGGAACAACGTAGGCATAGACGAAGATGCAGATGGTGAAAACGGAGGTGTCCCGAGAGGCGGTCAGATAATCGAAAGAGCAAGTGGTCAGGTATCCCTCAGGGATGTATCGGTTCCAGATCTCGAAGGCGGGCATCAGAGAGAAGGGCATGGCATAGAACCACACAAAGGCGATGAAGATAGCAGCGGTCTTCATTGACATACGACCATCCATAGGGGAGGAAATAGACCTGAGGATGTAAATGTTGATGTTTTTAATTAATTGTTGTTCTAAGATAACGACTGAATTTTCTTACCTATATCTATCGTAAGCAATGGCGACGTTGTTAACAGCATTTCCCATTCCGGAAATTGCTCCCAAAGTTCCAAAGAGATTGCAGCCAACAGTGCCAAGCACCTGTCCTTGGTAAAGAGAGTTGGCCACGAAAATGGGCAACTGGGACATCATGACCAAGTCGAGGACGGCAAGGTTGGCCAGGAACAGGTTCGAGGAAGTTCGCAATGCCCTAGTTCTGTAGAGCGAAAAGTTAAAAACATTTTTATTCAAAACATATTTCCTTTTTGTATCTTATCAAGTAGTGTGGACAAAATAATTAAAAATAATTAAATATTCACACACATATATGCACATATATATATTTTTAAATATAATAAAAATTCAGACGAAGTTCGAAACTTAAAAAATTAAACTTTTTTTACTGGTAAAATTAATGCTAGTTTTTGTAAGACTTGTGCAAAATATGTAAAAATTGTTTATATTACGTGAGGAAGGTAATGAGCACCACGCTGTTCCCAATAACGCCTGCAAAGAAGATGAAGAAATAGATAACGCCAAGGATCATGTGGTCGGCGTCTGAGGCAGGAGGGAAGCTCAGCCAGTGGGGATCAACGAGCCCAACGAGTTCAGGCGGCAGGTCGACGCCGGCCAGCTTCTCACCGCCAGCGGCAGCCCTAGCCTCGGCGAAGGGTTCGCCGAGGGTCAGGTTGTGGCTAGGCAGGCTTGGGTTCAGCAACATGGTGGTGCTGCAACAAGACCAGAGATTGATTTAGAAAACGCCTGCAAAAAACCGAAGTATGCAACATGCACGACATGAATCTAAAAATTGTCTCGTATATAGACAGAATTTTCAAGTCGGAATCGAGTGGTGGGCTGCTGGAATTTCAGACAAACCTTTAACTAAGGCAAATTCGGAGGGATGAAGAGGAGGAGCTCCTGCTGCGGATGCAGTAGCTGCTCAACAACTAACTTCTCCCTCGACTTTCAGCCTTTTATACCCCTTTGAAAGCCAGGGATGAGCCTCTTCTTTTTGTGCATTATTAAATTTAGCATAATTAAGTTAAAAGCCATAGGAATAAATGCTTTGTGTGGATTGCACTTCTTCAATTGCGCTCAACGTTTTAAATATCCATTTATAAAAATGCAGTTGTTCGCGACCGGTATTATAAACTAAGTGGAAACTCTAAAAGTGAGAGAATATTCACAAGTCGGGAAGAGACGAGACACATGCCTCACGATTTTGTAGTAAAAGTCAACCGCGTCGTTTGGTGTCTTTGGTGTTTTTCACCTTTCTTTACAGTTCAGTCGCTCAGAAATATAAAGATCTTGAATTAACTTTAAATTAATATTGATTTATTTTTCTCTGTACAAATTGCATACCAGATTCTTTACTGTATTTAAAGTGTCTAAAATATGCATGTAAAAGAATTTAAAAAAAGGAAATCATGTCACAATTGAGGGTTTTGATCAAACATTCGGAAAAAATTGATTGGGTTTACTCATTAAACTTGGTAATAATGATAATGGTTATGATAAATAATTGTTTGTATGTATGTATCAAAAATTCTCAATCTCAAATCAATTATTTATTAATGTCAAAAGCAACAAAGAATTTTCTTTACATAACGGAATTTTTACCTTGGAGGCGGCAGCCACGTTCAGTCCATGTTTTGTCGCAAAATATTTATGCTAAAAAGAATATGCTCTGGGCCTTTTTTTTTAATCTATTTATTTGCGAACTAATTTTTATTATAATTCTAGTGCAAAAAAGGTTTCTCAGAGCATATAAGCATTTTTCTATGATAATAGGACTTCTCTTTAAAGTCAACACGTGCAGCTGTAATTATTATTCTTATCAAATTAGGAAAATAAAACTGCCAACCAGTAAAATGACAAAACAAGGATTTTTTCATTATTGTTATTTTTTATTTTGGAATTGTTTGAAATGAATGAATTCTATCTCATTCGTGCCTCGTGGAATTAACCAAGAGGAAAAATAGAATTTAAGTCGCTGATTTCCCTTGTCTTGCCAGTCCGCTGATTAAAGAAGCCCTTTTTCCAGAAAATAATTGGATATTCCTTTTGTGCGCATATATATTCCTTGCATGTGACTATGAGACTTTCATAATTAAACATCAATGTTTGGTATCTTGATCTTGAAGCCACTTATTGTTAAAACCCAAATACATAATCGAAGCCACAAAAATGCCCTCAATCAGGCCTTAGCTTGCCATTCAACTGCTGGCTGTTTACGGCCTCCACGAAATTTGACACCTCACCCAAGCAACTCTACTCTTAAGTTTTGCATTATAACGCAACACGTTTTGTTTAAGTCACTTTGCAAGGAGAATAATATATATCATTCTTTTTATTAAGCCAATGTAAGAATTCATTTTTTTTTTGAAGATCTAGAAAGGAGCGAAAAGGAGATTAGTGAATTTATAGTTGGAGAAATTGTTTTCTATAGAATTTTATTTTATTTCAGAGTTTTAATTAAGTTGCATGCTGAATAAGAAACATACAAAATCCCTGTGCTGACAAAACCGCTTAACATTTTGTTAAAATTGACAAACATAACGTTCCACATAATAATTTTATAACATAAAAGGAATGCAAAATCGCTAAAGAAATAATCTCCTACTTTTATCACTTCACTCGCAGCAACTGGACAGGTCAACCAAATAAGGGCTATCCAAAGCCCCTAGCCCTGCAGCAACGCCACCTTCATCGGCAGTGCTCAGCTTTGTTCTCAGCATGTGGCCCACTTGCTTGTTGGTTGAAATAATGTTTTCATCTCTACAGATTAATTCATTACTACAAATTTTCTTTTATTATTAAATTGTTATTACCCAATCACGACTCCAAAAATTCCAAGTTCTCCGACAACTTCACTGATTGGAGGGCAAGCATTCTTCGGGTCACCAGGCCGAACCATGTAGTTGTGCTGCAAAGGTGGCAAAATTCTTTCCATCAAGATCCATGCCGATCTTTCCTCCGTGTCCTTCATGCTTAGCACAGCTGAGCGCACGTTTTCTCCGTAGACGTTGTTGCCGCCTCCCTCTCGTTGAGGTTTTAACACAAAGTGGCTTGGGTTTTCTATGGCCATTTGAATTGCTTTTTCACCAAATTCGTCCTGTAAAAGTATCAAGCAAAAATATGGTAAAAATTAAAAGGCAATTTCAGTGGAAATACCTTGTCCAGAGAATACAGCCCAGTGAAGATTTCTTTGACTGCAGAAGTTTTGTCCCCTGCGAGGAACTTTTCCAAGACACCTGGCCTTGCAAGTGACTGCTGCACCTTTTTTGTTCCTGCCAGGTGGTAATGAATGCTGGGACACTTGATGGCCAACGAACGCTCCATCAGCAAACGGGCGTCCCACTCTTTCTCCGTGTGGTAGTGACCTGGTTCATAGCCAGCTCTGAAGTAGATCACAGCAACCTCCAATCCATCACTGGAATTTTTACTTAAAATCACAATCATTCAAATTAAATTTACGAATAACTTACACAATCAGCTCCTTATTAGAACCAAGCTTGGCCGACTGAGAAAGTTGGGTCAAGTTTCGACGAATGACAGGCACATTCGGGTTTTGTGAGCGCAGCTCAAACTCGTGGAATCTCTGGTCACAAATGTTGTAGGTCACGTCCTCGACAATAAACATAATCACGGCCCTTAAGTTATTTTATTAAATATATTGACAATGTCATTAACTAAATATAAATTTTACTTATTATTCTTGTAAATTTTCCATGCTTCAAGCATTCCTCCGCAAAGGCCTTGTAGTGCTTTGTTTTCTGGTAGCTGTCAGTATTTTTTCTATTAATGTTAAATATGTTATTAAAAAAGTGTAACTTACATTTTTAATCATGTCCATCCTTCCGAGTTCTTGAAGAACATATCTAAAATATGATTTTTGTGAGTTAGGAAAAAACATAGTTCAAAGACAGTCTTTCCAATAATTGAATTGAAAATGCCTCAACCATTAGCCAGAAAACTAAAAGAGAGAATATACATAACAAACGAAGATTAAAATACTAAAACCATGCAATATACAACCAGGAGTTCTTTCTCTCGTCACAAGAACGTTTTTTTTTTGTATGGTGCAAATGAAAATTTTAACAAAATGGAAAGGTATTTTATTCAAGGATTTTGAGCAAAAATTGTTTTTGTTACCTATGGAAGTGTCCTAAATGGGTACTAATGCCTCCAAAACTAGACGCAATAGTGTTTATTTCGACTTGCTTTACGGTACCCGAGTCGCAATTTAAGAGGTAGTCAGAACGTAAGAGGCCAAGGCTGGTAGGCTGCAACACAAGCACAACAGCCCATAGTGAGGAGAGAAAGAAGTGAAAATGCAAGCAAATCAAGAAAGAAAAAAAAATATATGAAAAAGTATAATCGGCGATCAATTGTTTAACTGCGTATATATGTATAGAGCGTAACATGCGATGGATTTTCAAACACATACTTGCATACTCATTCGGAATGATGTAATTAATAAAGTATATAAACTGCTCAGGTAACTTTCTTAATAGAACAAATTTTACTTCATCGATGAGTTGATAATTATTTTTTGTTTATTCGATTACATCAAACACAATATTGGTAGTTGATAATTTTAATAACAATGCCTTACTATAATTTATATTTAGTTCATGATGTAAATTTTAAACAAATTTTTTTATTAGTTGATATGGAAAAGTGTTGATAAAAAATTAAATTAGCACTCCCTTATGAAATCATATTTTAAATTTCTTATAAAAAATCATTTGATTTTAATTTTTTTGTAAATATTAATTATTATATTATTATGGTTCTTTTTGCAATTAAAAAATTAATATTTCTTTTATAAAATAGTATTAAAAGTAATGGTTGTTATCAAAATTTACGCCCATCCCATAGTACTGCAAATAAAAAACGACTAAAGAGCAATTTTAGTACAGCGGTCTAGTTTGTGTGCAAAAAGCCATGGCATGTTCAGGGGCGAGGACAAAAACCAACAGGCCCAGTTTGTACCTATGGATCAGGCCGGACGCCGGACCTAACCAGCCAAACCCAGAGGCTATGGTGTTGATTTCCACCTGCTTCCAGCAACAATATGGGCCCGATTCTGCAGTCGAACAATCTGAGGCGCACTCCCTGCCAATGCAGGAGGACTCCAACATAATGTCGGAGCGCACCAGCCCCAAACTCACAGGCTGGTGACATCGAGAGCACCGATTTGCAATAATTAAAATTTTAATCGCAGTAAATTTTATTTTTAATTTTCTTTAATCATTTTAAATGAAAATATGTGTCTACCTGAGCTATTCCTTCACTCCGCACAGTTTCGTAAATCTCGAAAAGCTTTTTGGTGAACTGGTCAACGGTTATGGTGCTGAAATTTGATTTTTAGTTTAACTGGCTGACTAGAAACCTCTAATTCACCTTTTCAAGCTGCTGGATAGGAAATCATAGTCGTGAGCAACTTTGTGCATCAATTCGTTCAAAATGGGCTGAATAGCAACGGCCTTTTCAAACTCCTTCCGAGGAAAAGTTGAGGGTAGCAGAACAAACGGTGCAAACTGAAGAATGTCGGTGTTCAAATTGGTCTTGGACCTCATGCAAGCACCTTCAGGATGAAAATGAAACATAATTTAAATTTGATGAGAAAATTTAAAATATATACCGTGCATGAGCGCCCAGTCTTTTGCTTTTTCCACTACTTCCTCGAGCAACTTCTGATCGATGGGCAGATCAAGGCAGGGAGTCATTCGAGGGTTATCCATTTTTCAAACTTAAATAATAGTGACACCGAAAAGTGACCAAAATCAACCGCTGGGCCAATGCCGAACCTTTTACAGTAACTCTTCGAGGAGTGGCGTTGTTATCAAATTTGCTGCCTTTTTTGTGTGTGTAATTATTGATAAGGAATTTGCTTCAGGCTATGACTTTTGCTATATTGTTTTTTTAGAGTAAATATTTGAAATTATGGCGTTTATGATGACACAAATAAAAAAACTCATCTGCACCGAAATCACAGGCTTTGATAAAAGTTCATGCAAATTTTCTGTCAGTTTGCTAAAACGCCTAAATTACTCTCAAGGCCAAAAGGCGAATCTGCACTTCTGCAGTTTTTGGGGGAGACGCCCCTCCGGCCCCCACCACTCGCTCCAGCTGTGTGGAATAAACAATAAACAATGAATAAAAGTTTACATTCACAGCTCTCAATTTACTTACAGTGACGAGATGAGATAGAGCTTAAAGCTTTAAACAAAACAACCGCAGCGAAGATCACCAATCTTTTTAATATTTTTAAGGATTTTTTCCTTATTTAATAAACAGATATTATAAATTCTTATAGTCGACAAAAAGTAGGTAAGAAAAATACAATTAATTTAAATGGGAAATTTTGTGAATTGTATTATAAAATAATTTTATTATTGTCGGTCTAGAATTCTCTCGAGCAACAACATGATGCGTCGTCTCCTGATGGCTTTCGACTTTGACCACACGATAATAAATGACAACAGTGATATCGTGGTGAGAAACATGCTTGGTTCGCCAATCCCCGAAGAAGTGGCCAAGTTGTATAGGACGGACGGCTGGACAGCCTACATGCAATCCATCTTCAAATTGCTCAACACAGACGGTTTCTCTCCCCTGCAGCTGCAGTCAGCCATCAAGCAAATCCCTTACACTCCAGGGATGGATGCCCTGCTTGAAGGTCTGCACCAAAGAGGAGACGCGGAGGTCATCATAATCTCCGACTCGAATTCAGTCTTCATCAGAGACTGGCTGGAGCACGCCTCTGTAGACCATATTGTCAATAAAACCTTTACCAATCCAGCTCACTTTGACGATGAAGGGTTGCTCAATATCAAAATGTACCATGAGCAGGATTGGTGCACCCTGAGCACAAAGAACCTGTGTAAGGGACACATCCTGCAGTCCTACGTCAACGAGCGCGCCAAGGAAGGCGTCAAGTTTGACTGCATCGGCTATGTGGGAGACGGAAACAATGATTTGTGTCCTTGCTTGAAATTATCCCAAGTGGATCTGGCGTTTCCCAGAAAAGACTACAGTTTAGCCAAAATGATCAGCAAGGAGGATTTTCAGCACAAAATCGAAGCTGGAGTGCACATCTGGGAGTCTGGCCATGAAATATTGGAAGTGATCAGGAAACATCTACCTCCTAACCCATGAAAGATTTATCTGATAATATGTTAAATTTAACTACTTTGAAGTTTGTGAAATTGGCGTAATAATTTTTATCTCAAATAAGGCTGAATATATTATAGTATGTACATACAGAGTCAATAAAAAATTTCAATTTCAGAAAAATTAATTTATTATTATTGGTCATGGTTATCATCCATTATTTAATTTTTTAAAAATTTTTACCAATGGAATAGAATATTATTTACTTTTGAATAGTTAACAACGAACTGTTTATTTCAGTAATTTTTTGTCTTAGAACGCCTAGGGCCGCCTCAGGATGCTAACTTTACTTTCGTAATGTAAATATTTTAAATAAAATTGAAAATCTTAATATCGAAGTTTTTCCTGGATAATTTTAATGATAACTGAATACAAACGTACACTTTTAGGGAAAGGGAAATTAAAGACTTTAAGATCAGCCTTCGTAGAATTTAGGGATGTCTTTTCCAGTGATGACGAACCTTTCAATTCCAGTCTGGTCAATGGCTCCAAGGCGAATCACACCACCACTTGAGCCGTCTCTCATCATAGCCAAAGCAAGAGCTAAATTGAACAAAATATATTTTAATGATTTCAATTAAAATTACAGCAAGAACTCACTGTTGGACACAAATTTCTTGCACTCATCCCGAGTCATATTGTCCTTGTAGTTAGCATCAACATAGCCATAGACATAAGTGCTGCCAGAGCCTCCAACAGATATGGGCTGCCTCACCAACATACCACCAATGGGGACACAGTAGACCTAAATATCATGTAAAAAATGTTATAAAATACTAGAATTCAAGAGATGGAGGAATTTTAAAGGAAATAATGAGCTGATATTATTGACTACCCCTTGCATCACTCATACTACATTTAATGAATACCGCAATAATTTTGACTTAATTTTTCTTTCTTTTAATATAAATTATAAAAAAAAACCAATACCTGTCCACCCTTCCTGCTGTCCCAGCCAGCAACAATAATTCCAGCAGTCAACTGATCGCGGTAGTCGTAACAGAGCTGACGGAAGATATTGGCAGCTGTCTCAACAAGGGGAGGCTCTCCCTGCTCCAGCCTAAATTCGCAATTTAAAAAATAGTATAACAAACAAAGTCTTTTAAGTTTACGAGAGGAATTCAAGGTGGTAGGCGACAATGTCGGCAATGGCCTGTGTGTCAGCAGCGGACCCTGAACGGCAGCAGTAGATCGAGTCCGAAATGCGGGTCAGCTTGTCAGTCACTCGATTAGCAATGTAGGCACTAAAAATTAAGGGAAAATGATGTTGTTTTATTGGGAATAAATTGGGTTATTTTGTATTTTTACCCAGTGGTTGTGCGCGAGTCGGCACCGATGATGACGCCGCCGTCGTACTCGACAGCCATAATTGACGTCTGTAAAGGCGAGGGGGGTGAGAATTTATTCTAATTAACTGAAAAATTAATCCTTCTACTTACGCCTGTGCTGTGCTCGGCATGGAGCCAGTCAGGACCGATGAAATTATGCTGAAATTTGGGAACCATGGACATTTGGCTTGTCATTCCGGTAAGCGCCATGTTTACGATTTTGCTTCTTCGCCTTGCAAATCGATTGCAGCGACATCTTCCGAGGCGCGGGAACTATTTGAATCCCAAAAGTTATGAAAATTTTTCTCCCTGTACATATACATAATCCAATATTCACCCTAATTTTTCTTTCCGAGCTCATAAATTATGAAGTAAAATTTAATATAAGTCGGCTTAAAATTTTAAGAAAAAATTTTTAACTTAAAATTTTAATGACCAATATTATTCAGCTTTAAATTAAAGACATAACCAAATCAAGAACCAAGACTTGTGAAGTAAAAAAGCTGTTTTTTTAAATAAATGGAATAAATGAATCATAAAAAAAATTGTTTAGAAAAATATTACTTTGATTTCATCCTGCTTTTTGCTGAATACTGTTTTTATTTATTCAATAAATTTTTGTCACAACACTAGCGCGTAGAGAGAACCACAAAAATGAATTATGAATCGGGTCAAATCACAGACATTTGTTAACAACTTGGTTGACAATTTTGTCCCTGGCCTCCAGGTCTCTGACTAGAGCTGATGCCAATTGCTGTGGGGTTACTTGTCTGCCCAAAGCGGCAGCAACTAGCTGCCTTGGGGGCAAGCCTCCGCCGTGGGCCAGACACTCTCTTCGAAACCGTTCGCCTGCATCGCTGCAAAATGGATTCTCTTCAAAATACTGCTGCCAAATCCAGGATGCTATTGCTCTTGACAAAAGATAAGAATAGTACTTGGCACCGTAGCCCACCAGGTGGCTGAACCGCAACTGCCATGCCTATAAAATTATCAATATAAATAAGTTTTATTTTAAAAATAAAGTATCAATTACAGTATTGTCAACGTAAGGTAAGCCATAATGTTTTTCTTGGACCATTTTTAAAATTTCTGTTGTGTCTTTCCCTGGTAGTGGGTGATGTCCATGGTACATTTGATCTAATGCAGAGTAAAACACTTGAAGCTGCATTTCTGAAGCAGCAAAGACGTTTTTCGAAGCACAAAGTCGGGCCAACATAGCATCGGGAATTGGCTCATGGGTCTGGTAGTGACGCGCAAAGCTTCTAATTACCTAAATATTGGGTTTGATTGAAATTTTAAAGAAAAAAATTAATAAGCTTACTCGTGGATCTGCAGCAAAATATTCCATTAAAACAGAGGGAACTTCTGCAAAGTCAGTTGCACATCGAGTGCCCGTGACATGTTGGTACTTTGTCCTGGCTAGCATAGAATGTAAAGCGTGGCCCATTTCGTGGAACAAGTTGTCAACCATGGAAGGAGACAAAAGGGATGGACTTGACCATCTGGGTGTTGGAAGACTCAACATAAGTACAACGATGGGATTCTGAGGGATTTAAAATGATTGAATTGCCCGAATTGCAAATTATTTAAAAATAGATCTTTTACCTGATAAGTTCCATCAGGAAGTTGCTTTCCTCCTCTTATAGTAAAGTGGCAGTCTTGATTGGGTTTGTTTGTTCGTTCATAGAAATCACAGTAAATGTGACCTAGCAGACCTTCATCATTGTGAACCACTAAAAATTTAGATATAAATTGAGAATTCTCATAACTGTTAATTGTAAATGTCACTTACCAGCTAGTTTGTAAACCTCAGGGCTCCATGACTCTCCGAACTCCATCTCGGCATTCACAAGTCGAATGTTGTACAGGGAGTGGATCAAATTGTCAAGCCCTTCCATGCAAGCTCCCAACGACAAGTAGGGTGCAAATTCAGCTCCTGTTCCAAGCTGGAGCCACGCTTTCTTCACTTTGTGGGTCAGGTAAGGAACGTCCCATGCAGCTAAACTCTTAAAAAAATAAGACAATGAGCATTTATGGAGCTATTAAATAAAATTTATTTTAAATACTTTCGACTCAGGATTTTCAGCAATTTTTAATCTCTGCATACTGAGGAAATCCTGTTCGGCCCTCGGTTTCAATTCCGAAGAAAGCTGGTCCAAAAATTCCGAGACCATTTGTGGCGTCTCGGCAGTGCTTGATTTTAATGCTCTGCAATTTTTCCATAGACTGTTTTTCTTTCTTTAGACTGAAATATGAATTTACCTGTGGGCGTAGGTTGGGAATCCACACAATTTGGCTAGTTCGTGCCTGTTGGTCAGCATTTCTGATAAAAAATATTCCTGCAGCTCATCAGGCTGAAGGAACATTTTGTACGCCGTTTGCCGCGCCAAATCGCTGCCAGAATCAGCATAAAGTCCAGTCACAATCAAGTTTTCCCCATCAGCCATAAATCTAAAATTTAATTCTAATAAGGTTTCATAGATAAAATTATGTCACTTTTCTTACAAGTGTCTGGTGCTCGTGGGAAACTCGCTTTTTGGTACTGATCTTGGAGAAATGCATCCAGTCATAAAGCGCTGACCATACTGCAGTATTGAATTATTTAAGTTGACCACTTTTTGACGTTCAGACTCGGAGAGGTGGATTCCACTCTGCTCGAAATCGAAGAGGAATAATTCAGCAACATGATCATCTAGGGCACTTGTTGGGACAATGTCTTTGTTCCCCAAAACAGATTTTAGCCGATGATACAGCTCGGGATGAGTATTTAATCTGGAGAAACATATTTAAATTAACTTTTAAATTAGATAAAAAGTGCTATTAATTTTGAACCTTTCTACAATTCCACTAATTGCTATGCAAGCATTTTCTGCAGCCTGAGTGTACGAGGCCTTGGGGTGGGCAATGCGTACAAACTCGGCAAGATCAGCAACTCTGCATAGACAGTCAGACATCTCATCAAAGACTTTGACCATTGCCCTTTGTCTGGTTTTGGACCCCGTCTCTTCAATGAGCTTTTCTGTTTCATATTCAGCCTGTTGTTGCAATAGGTAGAATCCATCAGCGCTTCGAAGCTCAGGCACTCCAAATAAACCCTTTAAAAAAATTACATTAGACAGAGATTTTATGCATGTATGTAAATGGCCAAAAAATTAATTAGGCATGTGAAAATATTTTGTTACATAATAATATTGTTTTTATTATTATTAAATTTAATAAGTTCAAAATTATTAATATCCGATTTTTCTTACATTATATGTATAAATTACAATTGAAATTAGAAAAAAATACGTACGGCATCGTTTTTTGTTATTCCGAAGTTAATTCTGTGCTCAGGTTTTGAATTGAAAGCAGTGGCTAAGTTTGACCAGGTGGTCACCTTCCGTTTGAAAGGGACGGCGGTCAGGTGCCGACTGGCAAGAAGTCCCCTCAGAAGGCTCATAATTTACCAATTAAAAATTAAAATCATGCTTAATGTAGTGGAACTCAATGATTTTGAACTATCAATGAAACTGTGTCAATAACACCAAAGCTTCTCTTTTAAAAGTCAAAGAAAAACTCTTGCATAATAACAAAATGTTGTTTTAAAATTGTGCACACATGTTTTACTACAACATCCAGCAGTTTATCCAACGTTACACGGACATAACGTTTCCTAATATGATGTTGGGGTACAAAAACTTATAATACGTTAATTTTATAATTATAAAATAATTTTGAGAAAAAAATTTTATTTCTATTTTAGAATTATATAGCTCTCTTAAGTGTGAAACATGTTACGAGATAAAGTTTAGACGGCTGGCTGCACTTTTTCTGCAAAATCAAAACAAATGGCGGCCGAAATCTGATCGAAGTGCGCAACAAATTGTTGCTGCTCAGCGAAAATCAACCTGGGCCCATTTTCACAGCGTGAAAACAATGCAGTGACACAGAGGCATGATATTTAGCGTCCCATCTCTCTACATTTTGGTGTATGAAGCATGCAAGAAATGTCGGTTCAGTCAAACGAGTGGAGAAAATATCAAACCAACTTTACTCAGCATCCCGTCGATTGATGATAGTGGCACGGAAATGGACCAGGAGAGTTCCGAAGAGCAATCAGGGGCAGCAGCTGAACGGACCAAATCTGTCCAGCCGCTGCAGAAGGAAATCCAGCAGGGCAACTCGTCCGATTCAGCGTTTTATCATGAGGAGGCGGGCATCCAGTTCAGCACCCCTGTTTACATCCAGAGGTACTGCGCCGTTGTTGAAGCCCTGCAGGACACTCGGTGGAAGGGAAAGATGAAAACGGTAAAGAATATTTTCTAATAAAAAGAAGAATACGAAAATAATCTAATATTATTGAATTAAATCTCACAGGTAGTGGACATGGGCTGCTCCGAGTTAGGATTTTTTCAGCATTTGAAGAACACTGAGGGGCTGACAAAAATCATTGCTGTTGACGTAGACCTGTTCATTCTTGAGTCGTTTTCCTGGAAAGTGGCACCTCTGTGTGCAGATTTTCTCAGGACACGAGATGAAGAGTTGAGTGTGATTGTGATGAAAGGCAGTGTTTCCCAATACGACAGCTGCTTAGAGGGTTGTGATGCCTTAGTCTGCATAGAATTGTAACAAAAACTTTGTAAATCTTTTTTTTTATTAATCCATAATCTGCAGAATCGAGCACCTTTTTCCTGAGGAATTGGATGCCCTTCCATATGTTATACTTGGTCAAGTGCAGCCACAAATTGCTGTGTTCACCACGCCGAATGATGAATTCAACGTTCTATTCAACAATCCCACTAAAAGATTCCGTCATCCAGACCATAAATTTGAATGGACCAGAGAGCAGTTTGAAGACTGGTAATTTTTCCATGCATACAAAATTTGAACTGAAAGTTAAGTAGAGTATTTATAAATATATATATATTTTTTTTAATTTCTTTTAGGGCAAAAAATTTGACTGAAAGGTACCCATTCTACAAAGTTGAGTTTGTTGGAATTGGAACCGGACCGGAGGGAACCGAGGAGACAAATGGATGCTGTTCCCAAATGGCCCTTTTCTACAGAGAAGATCTGATTAGCGGAGGCCCGTCAAAAATTATCCCTCCTTCGAAGGTTGTTTTTTAATTTTTCCTTGAAAATGTAATTATTAATACTAATTTAATGCTAGGAATCAAACTACAAGTTGGTCAAGGAGGTTGTGTATCCAAAAAACAAAGAGTCGCCTCTTGACGTAGCGCACAAAGCAAAGTGCAAAGCTGAGTATCACATTCATGCACTGGGTGGAGACTCCAGTTTTGACGAACCCAATGGAGATACGCTAATCCCTCTCACAATCATTCTCCAATTTGTCGGCGAATACTTCCAAAACACTGTCTCTTTGAGGTGAAATTATAGCTGCAGAAGTAGTAGTTTCATCAACTAATATTCAAAATTTTTCTGTAAATAGGGAATGTCTTGAAAGCCACAATTGGAAAGTCCAGTTGAACTCCTGTGGTCAGCAGTGCATAAAATACGAAAACGTATGCAGCGACAACTCTGAATTTTCCGACGAGGCAGACGTTGACAGCGTTCATTTTGAGCCATGCCACTACACATCCAGAGGAGCAGAATTTGGACTTGAACAGGCTGCCCCTCGACCATGGCAGTCGGAGCCGCACCTCCAAGCTGCATTTCCTTTTGCACAACAATATGAAGCACCTGCCGCAGAGTCTCTGATGTTTAGATCAGTAAACGAGAGGCAAATATTCGGCTACAAATCTTCCATGTCAGACCCTATTCGAGTCGACGACAGCGGATATCCCAATTCTGCCTCTGTTCAGGCAAGTCTAATGTCTTATTTTAAAAAGCCAGATTTAAGTTTTGATCATTAAAATTTTGAACAGTAACTCCATTATTTGAAATTATAGAAAATTTTCTGTTTATCTTCTTATTTTATCGTGGAAATAAAATTTAAATTATATTTTGCTTCTCACAGGACATGGATGTTACCCTTGGCTCAAGTGATGATCTCAGCGCCTCCAATGATGAGGACGATGAAGCGGAAGAGGACGATGAAAATCAGGCACCTAGAGTTGCAGGTCCTCCTCCTCCCTTTGTCCCACCAGCTGCCATTCCAGCAAATAACCACGACGCCGTCAACAATAACAGGGATGATGAGGGCAACGACCTGGGCTTGGAAATGATTCCATTAGAACAGCCACCAGTTGCTGTACCTAGACCTCCAGAGTTCCCCAGGTGGCTACTACTTGTGTTGGCAGATGAGAGAGACGAGGGTTTTGCGGATGAGTCATCCAGCTCAGAGGACGACTAGACTGACAGCGAGTGAGGAATCAACAAAATTCTATTGTTCATAATATCTTTGATGTATTTTTATATTTTGGCTCAACAAACTGTATGATTAGGGATGATTTAATCAATACGAGAGCTTCAGTGAGATTTTATTCAGTAGAACACTATGAACTTATTTTCTATGTAATTGCACAAGATTCAAAATTTATTTTAAATTTAATAATAGCTCTTGGAGACCAACTTAACAATTTCTTTGAATTTTCCTGTAAAAACTGCACAATATGCATAAACTGTCAAAAATTGTAACGTTATTAATCATAATTGGGACATAGATGAGTCGATGAATAGATAGATCAAAGTTTCAAAAAGTCAAAACTCTCATTCCTAAACATATGCGATTTTGTGATCTTAAGAAATTTGTGATTTGTAGAGTGTAAAAATTGTCTGTATAATTATAGAGATCAGTCGCGTTTAATTGTAAGGTCTTCAAGTTATCCGCCTCAATTGCAAATATCAGTATCGTCTTGATTTTCAAGTAAAACAAATGCATTTTAACTTGTGGCGCAATCATTGACATGCATGCATTTAAAAACACATTAAAAGTGAGCTTGATGTGACAAAAACATAATAATTTGATTCTCGTGTCTCATTCCACACAACCCCGCAAGTTCCCATACCAAGTAAGCCAGAAAACACGCAACTCGTGGCGCAATGCAAATGGGATGTGAATTCACTTGCAGGCGGACAAGCAGCCACAGTAGCCGTATCATAAAAGAGATAATAAAATGCAATTAATATTTATATGCATTATTTTTCTGCACAGAGAGACGGCGGAGAAAATTATTTATTCCCCAGCGAGACCATTAAAATGATAATTCAATGTCGTAAAAAGATTACAATATCATTTTTCACCGGGTGATATGTGCATGCTGGCCGCTCTCTCGCCTGGCCGGCAACAGTCTTTTCATGAGCAGGCGAGATTCACGCGATCCGGCTGGATTATTATCGCGCGTATTTACCAGCGAAGAGCCACACGGCGGCGCAATTCTAATCGCGCGCACTACCAGCGACCAATTTAAATCGCGCGGCGTGCATATTTTCCAGCATGCACTCGGCCGCAAATAGCTTCTTGTTTTACACATAATGGTTTTATTGCACTAAATCACTGCCACTGTCGATCGATGCACACTTTGAGAGACGCACTGCTCATTTATGGCCTCCGTCGGAATGGTGAGAAAATTCTTACAAGCAGCGGGATGCAGGAATAATGATGCATTTTGTGCGTCTGGACCTCCGTGCGAAAGTTTTGTTGCAGTAGCTGGAAATTCTGGAGTGTAATTTCAGTTGGATTTGTGCTAGAAATTATTATTTTAAAATTCACAAGTTTTTCGTATAGTTCTAGAAATAAAAATAGCTTGTGGCAGATGATAAAAAAATCAAAATAAATTAATATATATCTTTTTTTAATTATTAATCTTGTTAAAAAACTTCAAGAGAAATCTTTGCTTGGTTCGAATTGACTTTTTATGAATGATTTAAATCATGAGAGGTCTGCAAAGTAAAATGCAACCTGCTTTGCACCTACGTATGTGAAGTTACATTAAATATAATTTTTTATTTAAATCTTCGTTTCAAAATTTTTAAAGCTTAGCATATTATTTTGCAGGATAATTTTTCACTTTAAATTTAAATGGAAATCAATGAAGCTATTTGTGATTAAAATTTTTGATTAGGTTCCACAACTTTGGAATTGAATTTCAGAAATAAGAAGATTAAAGCTGCACAGATTCAGCAATTTAATTACCCACCCATCCCTGCGCGTAAATCAAAACCGTGAGTTCAGTAGGCCTGGAATCAAATGGTTTACTTTCTGAGATTTCCCGTCTGTGATAAATTACCCGACGAACGGGGGGTGCAATTAGGCATACAAGAATGCTCGGCGGCAATTAAGCCGAATTGTTAATAACAGGTGTGCATGACAAGTTTGGAGCTGCGCGTACATGTTGGTGTTTGTGCAGCGGAGCGACGCGCTAATAGGCAGGTACAAAGAACGAAAACGCCGCCGTCTTAAACCTTACCGAAAAAAATCGGGGGCACAAAGGGCACTGGTAAAATAATGCATATGGTCAGCAGCTCCTTTTTATGTACGAACTGGCGTCTATATCTGACAGATTCATCAGCCAGTCAACTCGAGATGGATTTTGTGCTTTTGATTTTTTTTTTTGTGATGCATGCACCTCTCTCGCCAGATTTTGAACTCCGACCCCAATTTAGGCAGTCTTTGTGATGTCTACCTGCTGAAAGGAGGCTTGATTGATTTTTATTCTTTTTACTTATCTCCGATAAATAAAAGCAATTAAACTGAGAGTGAAAATCACTTTTCAAGCATGTGCGCTCAAATGTCAATTACCCTGCTTATTTAGCGAGCCTTGCGTTTGCTAGAGAAGGCTAATGGTCCAAGTGGCATTGGAAAAGACCTAGTGATTTATGATGTGATATGATAGGAATTTATACATATCGGCAACACAAAAGGAGCACTTTATGCTCGCTGAATTTCTTGCTGCTCAATCAAGATGAGGCGCACCTGAGAGAAAAAAGAGCGGCCAGATGATAACACTCTCACACGCATATTTCAATCCAGCTCCTCGTAGATGACTCCTTATTGATAAATACATCACACTTCTTCTTCTGCTTCCACTGCGTCTTGGCCGTGATTTGATTCCCATACGCTTCGGCATCACAAACTGATTGAGCAGGGAAGGGAAGAGCTGTGTTGCTTTTTGCCGCCTCCCGTTCCCCAGATGGTCAGGCCGATGAGGAATTAAAAAGTGTTTGATGTAAAAAATTAATTTATATTCATGCGAGGTTATGAACTTGATATATATGATAAATTTTACATCTGTCGGTGTGCCCCTCTCAGAATTGTTGTTTAGAATGATCCAACGCCAATGGATTAAAGAATTAAAATTAGTGTTTTTTTGTCTGATTGAACACTTATTTTATTATATTACATTCTAGTTAAACCAAGTGTTTAAATTATTAAAAAAAACACACACACACACACAATTTAAAATATTTGGTATTTGGGGTACAGATTTGTAAAATCAATTGATTTTTTTTCTGTTTCTTCACTTAACGTGTAGAATATAAGAAAAATTAAACTTGACAAAAAATGGAAGTGGAAATTACATTGGAAGAGCCCTAGTAAAAAAATGTATGCTAAAACTCATGATTTTAAAACCAGTGTTTCAAATTAATTTAAAAAAAAGCATAACAATTTTTTGAGTCAAAATTTTTAATCCTAAGGATAAACCCCAACAGTTTAATGCACAAAATTGATTTAAATAGTGCTTAATTTTATTTCATTGTAAAAGTATTTTATCTATTAGATAGGCAATCAATTTCACAGGCAAGTTACGCGTGTTGCCTAACTCAATCAATATCTACAAAAATATACTGTGCCGCTCTGCGCTTTCATTTAAAAATATTATTACCAAATGTTTAATTATTCATATTGATTCAATATTTACCAATATTTCCGTTCAGTTTACAAAATAAAATCTTTGTACCCCCATCTTATAAACTTAGTTTCAAGATTTCTTTGACTTTATAGATGATACGTTCTCTGCGGTACATATTTGAACAGAGAGAGATATTGCACTGCCAGCTCCATAGTTCATGTCGGCGTGCACGTAAATTTCATCACTGCTATGGCAGCTTATTTTAGTGAATTAATCATTCATTATCATCTGGCTTTGTGCTGCACACAAGCGAGCCGTGAGCGACGCGACGCATAATCAAGATGCCACTGTGTGTCATAAAGCGCTGTCCGGTCAATGTATTAAAGCCGTCTGCGGGCGCGTTATCATTCAAATGCGCGCACAGGCTTATGTTTTTCATTCCTGAGGCGCTGCTGAGGTTGCATCACTCTGAAATTTTCGATCTTATCCCCATCTGCCACCATGAGTGCGTTTTCGAAGCCTTTAGGTCGTGTTCATTTGATGCAAAGAACTACCAAATGAAATTTTTATAAATAATGGAAGAAAATAGGCAATTCCATCATTTTCAGCGTTAAATTTTTTTTAATTCGCTGTTTCAAATTGAAAATTGTATCAAATAATCAGTTTCTTGCAAATAATTCCTTTCCGCGTTCCCTTTAACTCCTCATGCATTACTTTCTGAAGATCTCAATTTCAGATTAATCCTGCTGTTTAGCAAAAACTCATTTGCTATTTTACCACTTCTCTCATATCTCTCGTTATTTTTTTCCGTTCGCGCCAGACTCGCCTCATTGTTCATGCACATTAATTCTCGCATGTGTAAAGCTCTCATACCTGTTGTAATTTATTGCACTTTGAGATTCACCTGACATTGCATAGCAAAAAGCTGCTGGAGATTCTCCACGAGCAGCAGCAGGTGCGATACGAATATTCCGGCAGCCCCTCTGAAAATCGGGATTACACCGACAGAGACAAGGGCCGCAGGTGTTTTTGCGCCAAATTTCACGATGTTTAATATCGGTGGCAGGTGACACACTCCGTGTGTAATCCTTTGGGAAGGAAGGATGAGGTTCTTTCTGTTGCATTATCACTTTAGTGAAAACCGTAAAGCGGGAGAAAATTAAACGAACGGCGCGGTCAGAAGTCGGCGCGCTTCAAAAGTGCATCTGCTTGAAATAACCTGCAGCGCACAGGCACCTGCCCCCAAGTCAAAGGATTCGCTGCATTCAATATTTTTGAAGAGTAAAATAAGAGAAAATGATTTTTTTTTTTATAATTCCTAATAAAAGTCAATAAAATTGTTATTGCCCAACGGGTTTTATTTATTTTTATTATTTGTCTGTATCAAAAACAGACTCCAATAACATGTTTTGTTATTTTCGATATGTCTGAATGGAGAATAAAAATATTATAAATTCAGTTTAAAATAAATTTTTTGGAAAGAGGCTCACATTTAAATATACAAATCAGAATTTAGAATAAGTCAATAAAAAACAATAAAAACTCCATTGAATTGATCATTGTATTTCCTTGTGAATAACAAATCCAGTTTTTTTTTCATTGAAAACCATTAAAGAATTCTTGAAAGTGCTTTTTATTATACGCTAAATTTGGTTGTAAAAAAATTAAGATTCGCATCCCATAGTCAGAAACGTAAGGGACAAATAATGTCAAAATAACGACCGGCTCAATTGTTTCCCGCGACCACTTAGTCATGTTTCGCCTGCGGACGCTGAAAGCAAAACATGAATGCTGATTATGCGCGGCCTAAGTGTCCGTTCGCATGACTTGGAATCGTCTCTGTGGTGGTGGTATATCCTCCACCGGCCACGCATCAAGCGAGGGTCTTCACGGTAGACACGTCGATAGTCTTTTAAGGTGAACAATTTTTCCACGCTTTAGGGCAAAAAGGACGTTTTTGTGCTTCGGCGGCGGCAGCGGCCGGGACCGACGGAATTATTAAAATGCGGCACATCAGCTGCAATCATACCCATTATAATATTATTATATGCTGTGCCCTTCTAATAATGCTCAATTATTTCAGTATTAAACTCGGGAAGAAGCGGCGGCTTGCAATTGCTGCTGAAATATTAAAAATTATAATTTTTGCGCGCACCGGTCGCATTACCATACCGGCCGGATTCACCACCGCGAACACAATAGGAATTTTCTCTCTTTCCGAGTGACGTCGCCAAAGAGAGATGACAGAAAATTTATTCCGTGCACTTCTTACTTTTTGCCGCCGCGACCAGATTTACGGCCATTCACTGTCGCTTTAATGGCGTGGTGTGTGTGTGTGCAGACCGCAAAAACTAACCGCGCTTATTGTGCGTATTTATTCAGTTACTGCTGCCATTGTGACGGCCGGCGGCGCATTTGTTTCAATCCACGCAGCAAAAACTAAAATGGGATCGATGCAAATTTACTCAGAGACGCCTCGCTCGGTATGGAAACAGCGAGAGCTGCTTTTGACATTCAAACGTCCATTCGTTCGCTGAATGAAATTTGAATCAGAGTTCTATACATTATTTCTCCAACTAAATCAATTGAATTTGTTTTCAACTTGAAATTTTAGAAATTAATTTTTACGTAATACTTTATATTTGGATTTGGAATTTAGATCATTAAAAAAAAGTGCCGAAGTAATTAAAATATGCGAAAATAGCCTGCCCGATAGCTGTAGTAAAGTGATTTTTTTTAAAGAAATACTGGCGCTATTCTCTTCTTCCA